TCCTTAAAGTCRAGCAGAGGGAAACAGGACCAGCGTCTGCTCTCCAAGGTACTGCCCCTTCAACGACAGCACAAAATTTCTAGTCTAGACCTCATCGTACCAGCAATGCCCCATCTCATTCTCCACCACCAAAGTACTTAAGGAAAATTAAAACAGCTCTTCTCCCCCAAAACTAACCATGATAACATCCAGGATAGCCTGACACATCTCAGAAAATGCTTGGGAATTCAATAGCTTGAACACTATCCTAACAAAGGGAAAGCCACACAGCACAAAAACATTAAAAAATTTAGCAGGAAGTCTTCCAACATAGGATACGAATTGACTTCAAGTTCTACATGACCCATACATTTTAAAAAGTCAAGATTGTTTCTTGAATTTAAATAAAGGTATTTACCTAAGCAGGAATAACAGCAGAGATTGTGCAGGCTCCTTATTAGGGAGACAGAGAACACCTACAGCATAAAGTTTGAGAGGATAAGTGAAAGAATTAATTACTGCTTAAGAAATACTTAGCCAAGATAATATTTCACTATATAGAAGGAGAAAGATTTTACTAAAATGTCAATTGTCCATAAGTTACAAACAAATCAGCAGAATAAAATGTACATAACTTAGCATCACTGATTAAGTGTCTGGAGTAATAAGAAAGAACCAATCTTCATCAGCATAAACAAATTTTGGGACAAAATAAAATCATTTTTGTTCACATCAGCTAACACGCACCAAAACACAGCAAAACCTGAAGTATTTTCCTAACAACAGAATTTTATCTTTAAACTGCTTTACAGCTACAAACAGCAAGTTAAAATATTACTTTATTCTCCCTTCCCTTTTGCTTTAGAAGGTTCACTATTAGGAGATTGGTTCCTCCTCTCTTTTTTTTTCCTCTAGGTATTCCAATTCATTTGTACTGTCACTTCACAGAAGTCTAGAAACTACTACAAGTTTGGAAAATATTACTACAAAGCAAAAGAAATCTTCCTTCTCCTCTAAGTGGATGCTGCATTTTGGATTAAAATGGTGAAGGTGAAGCAGAAAGCTGGCCAGAAAATCTTCATTCCCAGAAAAAAAAGAACTGATATAACCTAGATATACCTGAGCTACCTAGTAGACATGACTATAAATTTGTGCTAAAACTTGTTTTTCCCAATCCGTAATACTGTGTTTACAATATGTAAAAGAAAACAAACAAGAAAATCCTATAGCAAGACCATCTTTGGAGTTTTAAGACGACATCCATCAACACCAAGCGCACTCCAAAAGATGCAACTTAGACAGTCTCTTAGGCAGCCAAGGCAAGTGCAGCCGACTTGGGATCAGCAGAGCCACGTGTATGCCTGCATAAAAGCWATACAGATGGTTGCACCTTCCTTAGAAATTATTTAAGAGTTCACAAACTGAACCTAATTATGGTTTAGAKCAAAAGATCACTGCCAGATTTCAAAATTGTATCTTCTCACTTACTTGAGGTAACTAGTTTTGCGAGCACCTACCAAAACAGAACTATCCTGATCAGGGCTTCTGGACAGCATATTAATATAAATATTACTACAGAACAAACAAAACTTGATATAATCCCTCCTTGAATGACAACTGGCATCCAAAGGAACTAGGGAATGTACAGCATGGCATACCAGGGTTCATCTCAGGACACAAAATGCTGTAAATTAACATAAAGACATTCAATGCCCTCTACATATTTTCCTGTAGAAAGTAAATTCCTTTAAATGAATTCCTTAAAAAGCATATTTTCATGGCRTAATTAAGTCTTTTGTAAATAAGTGTCCACATTCTGAAGAGTAAACGGTCATGTTTTCTTATCTTTCCCTATTTAAGGCTATTAAAAATGTGTATGTTGAGGAAGATTACCTCAGATATCAGATCAGCCAATAGAAAGATGTTATTACTATTAAATGCCTACCTAGGAGAAATGTGTGTGATGCTAACACACCTAGAGCACTCGAAAGTAGACTGTTCTCTCTGCCTGCACAATACATTGCCTTGAAATGCAAAAACTGTTTTAAAGCTTGAGCATTTAATYGAGGAAACTGTGTTTTACTGATTTCCTGGGCCAAGTCATAACTTCACGCTCCTACTACTTCTCAGGAAGTCATAACTCCTAGAACAGGGAATTTTCAGTGTTTTATAGTTATATCAAAAGCTGAAAATAAAGTTGTTGCTAGAGAAAGCAAAACTATTTCTTCTGTCCACAAAACATAGCCTGCTTGCCCTGCTGAAGCAATGAAATTTTGTATTAAACACAGGCTGATTGATTCAGAGCTTTTGTCAACAAACACTTTTTTAGAYTACAGGTTTGCAGTTCTACCATAACTGTATTTGCATAGAACTAGGCCCACTGACTACTTGTTATAAAATCAAGCCTAGGGAGCAGGAATCTTGTAATGAGCTTGGGGAAGACAAACCTCTGGGCCTACCCAAAGGTCACAGCTTGACAAAGGCTCCCGTTCTGCAAACTGTCATGAGCATGATTAATATTCCAATAGTTTACTGTAGGATTAATGTGCTTATAATAAAAATATGCAGTGCTGTTTGCAGAATCAGTCAGTTTCATCCTGCTGTCCTCCATAAATTGGTAAACCCTTCTGAGGAAAGCATGACCTTCCCTTGCGCTCATTTCAAAACAAAAAAATTAAGAGTTATTAGTCAGTTGAGTAAGTGACCTGTCATACAACTGATACCAAATAATTGTTTTGTAAACACCAGGGCAAATGAAGACAAAAGGTAGTATGCACTGTGCATAAAAATATTTTGTTTGGTGAGAAATTGTTAAAACAAACCAAATGACGTTTCCTGGACCTCTTTCCAAACACTGTTTCAGTAGTTTCAGTAAAGAGGCAATCCCAAATGCTCAAYGGGCAGAAAAGGAAACTGCTGGCAGCCTCTGGCTCACACATTTTGGGTATGACCTCATTCTTCACTACCACTTTTCATTTTTGCTGCAGTGTTTTAAATACCAAGGCTTGACACCACCGTACATTAGCATTAAATATTACTCAAGAATACAAACGACCGTAACTTGAAAGTTGTAAAAGAAATTCAAGTACATCTCCCCTATAACTCATGCTCATACTCGGAGAACGTAGGTGGTACAAGTAACACACCATCCGATGCTTTAGCAACCAAGCACTTACAAAAAMCATTCACTTTAGTTTCAAGCGTTCTTGCTTCCCTGGGAGGAAGACCAAAACTAATGTTATCGGACCAGCACTGCTGGAAGTTAATTATACAGCAAAAGTGGTGCATATTTTCCCTAATAAATTTAACTAACATAGCCAACTTCTTTTTTGTAAATAGCAGGCTTATAACATTAAGTTATACAGAACCATTAAATTATACCTACATAGTTATCAAAAACTCAATGTGAGAGTGATATAAGGCATTGCAGGGAAATTACATAAAGGATTGTATTGACAATTACATTGTAAAAGGAACTGCAAGACACTGTACGGGAAGATCTAATTGCCTCTCAATTATTTTAAAATGGTTTTAAAACTAAATTCATCCTAGAAATTCAGATTTCTTCACAAATTAAGATCGCAACCGTCATGATTAAGCTTAAATGGAAATTATTTATTAGACCACGATAATCAAGCAAAGTTATCTCTTCCAACAAACAGCTGTCACCATTACGCTCTTGATAACACTAGGCTCTAAATGGGACCAAGTTTAAATAAGCATGTGGCCTATAGCACCAATTTATTCCTCACCTCTCCGGCTGRGAAAGATAGGATATACACACTAAAATTGGGCAAACATCACCACGGCTCAAAATAAAATGTTAGGATTACAAGCTTAGTCAAACTTGGCAAACGATTTTCTTAATAATCCAGCAGTTCCCCAATATTAACTTTTTAATTCCATTTATTCTTGCCTCTCGAGTCCTTCAAAGTTATTTTCATTGCAGTTTTTTTAAATAAAATCATGATCATGCCAAAACATCAGCTCTCCCCCGTGAGAAAAAGGCCGATGCTCAACTCCTACTATACACTAGTTACTACTACTACCTACTACTACGGCAGCACTCTGGGGTGTACTTGAGCGCGGATCCAACTGCGGCCTTTGGGCCTCGCACGCCGAGTCCCGAGGGGCGGCCCAGGCCGGCGGGGCAGCGCGCTGGGAGCGCCCCGCGCTGCCCCTTGCCGGGGCCCGGCTGCCCCCGCGCCGCCCGCCCGGGGAGGCGCCCGCGAGGCCGCGGAACTTGCCGCGGGCCGCAGCTCGGCGGCGCCGGCCCCGCGGCTGCCGCCTTTGTTCGCGCGCCGCGGGGCCCCGCGGAGCGCCCCGCGACGCGCGCGGCCTAGCGCCCGCCAGCGCCGCGGCGCCCCGGGGATGGGCGGCCGGGGGGTGGCGGCGAGACAAGGACGTACCTGCCGTGGTACCCCCCTCCCTCCCTGCCTCCCTCCTTGCCCCGGCTCCTCGGGTGACACCTGTACGGAGGGGATAGGGAGGGAAGTCCCGCAGAGGGGCTCCGCGGCTGCGGCCCCTTCAGCAGCGCCCGGGCAGCCTCTCCCGCCCCGCTGCTTTCGGGAAGCGGCGCCGAGGGCACCCCCCGCGCCGCGGCGAGGGGCGGACGGGGGGGCAGGATCACCCAGAGCCGCCTCGCCTGCTTAAAAGCGCCCCAGCGCAGGCCCGGCCTCCAGCTGCTCGGCGGCCGCCGGGCCGGCTCGCGGGCACCTCCTGGGGCCCGGCGGCCGCGCGCTAGGCCCGGGCGCGCCTGCCCGCCGCGGGGGATGCGCCGCACACGCGGGCCACGCGCCACGGGGGGGCAAGGGGCCAGGCCCCGGCGGCTCGGACTAACCCCCCCCGCCCCGCGGCCTCCGCGCCATCCCCGCGCCCGCCCAGGCCACGAGTGTCCCCGGGCAGGAAGCGGCGGAGCGGCGCAGGCTCTGCCGGCCCGGCCTCCCCGCCGGGAGCGGCGGCGCGCGGGAGGCCCGCGCCAGGCGGCCAGCGCGGAAACGGGAGGAAGGGGAAGGCAGGCGAGGAGGGAAGGAAGATGGAGCGGGGCTCCGGCCGGGCCCGTGCAGAGGAGGGTACGCGGGGTCCCGGCCCGGGGCGAGGAGTGTTGGGGGGAGGGTAGCGGGGGAGGGCGACCGCACTTACTCTCATTTAACACCTCCAGCAGCTCGGCGCAGCTCTCACACATTGTTCATTAACAGCAGCAGCCGCCGCCGCCGCCTCCTCCCGACCATTGATTGATCCACTCGGTGCTGCTGATTGATGATTGATGGGGGCCGGGGCGGGGGTCAGCGGGGAGGGGGGGAGGGGAAGGAGGGGGCGGGAAGGGCCGGGAGGAGAAGGGGGGAGAGGCCGGGGCCGGCCCGGGATCCGGGGGAGGGGGGATGGGGCGGCTGATCAATGCAAATGAGCCTGTGGCGGCGGCGGCAGCGGCGGGGAGGAGAAGCCGAGTCACTCACTGGCTCCCAGTGACTCCACGCGCCGCCATTTTGCTGAGGGGGAAGGAGGAGGAGGGGACGGGAGCGAGGGGGGACAGGGCGCTCGGCTCGGCTCGGCTGTTTCCGACCAGGCGGGAGGCGAAGGTGGCCGCGTCCCTCCTCCCTTTCCTCTCGCCCCGCCTTCGCGGCGCGGGCCGAGCGGCGAGCGGGGAGGAGGAAGGGGGCGGGCCGCCAGCCGGGGCCGGCGCGCTAAAATGGCGGCAGCGGCCGTTGCGGCTCCGCGCGCGCCCCGGCGAGGGCGGGAAGCGCCTTTCCCTGCCCCGCTCCCGCCCCCGCCCGCCGCGGGGGGGAGGGGAAGGGGCGGTTCTCSTCCCATCGCGCGCACGCGGAGCAGGAGCGGCCTCGTTCCCCTCCTCTTCCTCCTCCTCCGCTTGCAGCAGCCGCCGCTGCCGGCGCGCTTCCCCGCGCTGCGCCCGTTGGGGCGGCCATTGGGGCAGCCCCTTTCCGTTTTTTAAATGCGTTGTTACTTATTTCCCCGGCTGGGGACGTCTCCGCGAGCCCGGGAGGGACCTCCGGCCTGAAGGGAGCGCCGGAGCGGCGCCCCGCGGGAGGCGCGCGGGCCGCGGCCTCGCCCGGGCCCGGCCCTGGGCGCCTCCTGCGCCGCCCGCGGCGGAGCGGAGCGGAGGCGGGAGCGGGAGCGGGCGCGGCGCGTGAGGGAAGCGGCGGCGCGAGCCGCCCTGCGGCGGGCGGCCGGGCTGCCCCCGTGGCCGCGGAGCTGCGGCGGGCCCGCGGGTGTCACGGGGAGTGCTGCTGCCGCGGGGAGCTGCACGTACTGGGGAGATACGCACGTCTATTAAAGAATAAAGGCCTCCGATCTAAGTTTTGAGCTTTTTTCTTCCTCTCCTTTTAGCTAAAGCTATGTAATTCATATGGCTGCAACTCCTAGTTTAAGAGTTTGAGTGTCCTACCTCCGCTCACTCTGCTTGGACACGTTTTCTGCAGGATTTCAAGCCCCTGAAAAACAAGCTGCCAGAGGGGCAGCAGTTTTTAATATAAAATATCACATCTCTGTAATAGCAATTATAACTGATCTACGCTCTCACACTCTGGTGCACACGCACACTCACACACAAACTCTTCCTCGCTCCCCAACTGACTCCATATCTTCCCTTGCTCTCACACTCATTAGCTCTCACTCTTTYTTTCATACTCTCTCCCAGATCCGTCGGATGGAGCGTGTACTGGATCGCGTCACCAGAGCGTGTCACCAGCTGCACCTTGGCTGCTGCTCYGTGCCAAAGTGGACATTTCTGTGGGACTTCCAAGTTGCTTTTATTTGTGCAGTCACCACCCAGCGGTGGCCTGGTGTATCATTCCATGGGAGTTTAGTTGACTGAACTGTATATAACGTTGAAGGGAACATACTGATAGCTGCAATGCAGATGTGGTAGAGCTTAATAGGAAGTATATCAACTCCGAGTTGCCAAATTAAGAAAAGACRCATGGAAGTTCCTTGGTAGCTGGCTTAAATAGAAAAAAATATGAAAGGGCCTAATTCCTTTATTGAAATATGGTTCCTTTTTGATTGCCCTTGTGCATGTTAATCCCAGCTGTGATTATAACCCTGGCTGCTGTACATACAACACTCCACACAGTGTGCACAGAGTGCTTTTCTCCTAACAATAATCAAGGCATCATTTGCTTAAGACAACAAGGAACTGAAATGAAGCTAATAGAGTTTAAAAAAGGAAGTTATTGTAGCTATATACCTAGTTTGTTGCAACTGTGGAAGACAAAGGACTGCTCGAATGAGTTACTTGTTAATTGTTTGTCTTATTGCTGCTTGTTCTTCAAGTACTTTCCAAGTTAGCCAACACGAATAACTGCATTCTACAATGCCTCGTCCAAAGCCTGTCTGTGCAAGCTGCAAGTTCCATTTACTCTACTAAACTAATACAGAAAAAAATAATTTCTCTAAGTGAGAAATACTTTCCTTGATGGCTGCCCTTTTCATTCACGTGACATTAACAAATATTTTTGAACCAGAACTTCTAAGTATAACAAAGCATACCAGTGAAAGAGATGGGAAGAACTATGAGCAAATATTAAAAATTGCACTGCATTGTTTTTTTTTCAAGCCATGTTGTACATAAATAATAACAGTATTCATCGTTATAAACCTAAAGGTGTATTTGAGGGATTTTTTAAAGGTAAACACCTATTTAAAAATCTAGAGGTCTTAATTGCACCYAACAATGTTGTTCTAGGAAGTGAATCTATTTAGTGCTCGTAAGCATATATTTAGTATGGAGCAAAGTTTAAATAGTGAGTTGCTTGGATTGGTTAAGAAGCTATATTTTGTGGGCATGTTGGAATCTTTTTCTTGGTAAAAATGCGTGTGTGAAAATTATGCACCTTGCCAATTTATAAAGATACTAACTCTAAATTCTGAGTTTAAGGTAATACCAATCACTTACCCAAATAGCTCTCTTCTTACTGGGAGAGGATCAAGTCTTCCAGATGACCCTCCAGCCAGCACTGCTTATTCTAATGACCTCTCACTGCTGAACAAGAGATGCAGCCTGCCATCTCACAGCTGGATCTTCAAGCTTCTTAAATAAGTAAAAAAAAAAAAAAAAAAAAAAAAAAAAAAATTACACACACCAATTTTCAAGACCAAACGCTAGTTGTTAATGGTGGATTCATATTGCCTCTCACTCAGGTGCAGTAAGCAACACCCATTCAAATTTGGAGCACTGATAATTAGAGATAATTTGAAGGAGAACCTATTCTTTCTGAAATGTAGGAGATATGATTTGTCTTTATCMTAGTGTGACTTTAGCATCAAAATCCTGCAATATGGAGCCAGTCCAAGGAATATCTCTGAGATCATGAACATTTCCCCATCTTGGCACCAGGCACTATATTAACACCAAATACATTTAAAAAAAATATATTGTTTCCTTTTCAAACACAGCTTCTTTTTTTCCCAGTCTTTAATAGTTACCTTATTTCCCTTGTCTTTAGAAACAATACTGCCCTGTTTAAAACCACAGATACATTTCCTTATCTGTAACTTTCTCTATGCTCTGTACTAATAGCTTTAAAATGGCAGTCAATAAAAGATTATAAAAGATGAAAAGTCCCATAAATTGCATGTTTTTTTTGCAAGCTTGCTCATTTCTGTTTTAAAGTTATCCTATTGTTTTATTTTTAAGATTGCTTTCCTGAATTTTTAAAGTGCTATTATTAGACTCAGTTTTCCAGAGATCAGCTGCCCTTTGYTCTTTGGAAGTTTTACTGATCTTTCTTGTTATATGTCACTTGAAGTTATTTTGATTCCTGACATTCTTAGTCTTTTCTAAACAATGTATTGTCTAAAGGAATAGGTGTGGCGGTTTGGTTATTGAAATGGCACGGCTGCACTGGGCCATATAAAGCCACCATTGATTGTGTGGTTTCCTCAAGATAGTCTGAAGACTTGTATAATGGAAGAATAAAAGAGCAGTCTCAACTGTTATAACTTGAAATATGCCTGTTCTCAAATTATGGTTCCAGCCACGTTTGTTTTTCAAAGTATCGTTTTCAAATCCTACTATCTTTCAAAGAGAGATCAGATGTTCTTATGTCATATATGTAACATATAATTTTTCACTTGCCACTGTACTCACTTCCTAAGGTCTATGGGTTTATTTCAGTCATCTTTCTTTTGTAAGTAATTTTCTTCCTGGATTTCACGGAAGTAGCGTTACTGAGTTCTCTTTGCAATATGCCACATACAGATTTGTGAGTAACATTAGTCTTTGTTTGCTAGAATATCCTTTACTTCTTACCACTATTAAAACTGAAGTTAGATCTGTGCAAAGAGAAGCCTAGAGTGCATCTTAACTACTTTATACCACAATAGTATAAAAATTGCATCTTCAAGAAATCATGCTTATTCACTTCCTTAACCTTTAATGTCATCTTGCAGAAGTTTTCCCATTAACATGGAATGAATCAGTGGCATAGGGGGCGACTGAGAGAGTGAAGTGAGTTGCCTGCATCTGCCAAAACAAACACCTTTTTTTTTCAATAAAAACTGTGGCTCCACAATCCGCAGAATCTGTTCTGAATTTGTAATTTTCTTTCCCCTCTTCCTTCCTTACATAGGCCTTGCAGTTGATTTGATCAGCGATCTAAAATTAACTACTAAAACATCTTAAACGATTCTTTTTCAGACAGATCAGCTCTTTGGTCTGATTGCACAGCCACATGAACACCGGAGTCAGCACAAGGAAAAGGACGTCTTAAGCATGATATCACACACCAAGTTCAATGAATACAACAGAAGAATATGGGTGACCTTGATTCCCTCCTATTTTTGTGCTGACTGGAATACTGCCAGGCACATTCTTTGAACTGCACACATTAATAGTACTGGTTGTAATGACCCTAAGCTTTCAGCAATTCCATCCATTGCTTTTTCCTCCTAATCTTTTCTTCCCTCATATATACCATCATTGCAGGGTTGTCTGCTTCCAGGGGAGCCCTCTCTCCTTCCCATGACTGTGATACTGTTCGCAGTCTGGAAACATTTGCTCTAGTAAACTGCCAGCACGGTTCTAAAGAAGTGAAGATAAATGCAAACCCTGAGCAAATATAAAACTCTAAACCGAAACTTACGACTCCTGAGAAGCTAGGGCTGGTCATTGCCACTGCTCCTGCACCCTGAATTGCACAGGAATCTGTCCTACTCAAAGACAAAACTCCACCTCGTGACAGCAAGAATGAGGGAGGAGGTGGTTTTTTTTCTCAGCTTGAAGGTCTGCAGCAGGTCAGGTCYATCTGAGTCAGTGCTGCTACAGGTCTTCCCTTGACTGAACCTTCTCTTCCCTTGTACTGTCACTACAAGCAGATTCAGTGCTAGTAACAGGAAAAATACTTTTCATTAATGGGTCAGGAAAATCCTGGCTATTCATCAGCTCTGTAGCTCACACAGCAGTGAAATCAAGCCCAGAATTGCTGTTTAATTGAGCTTTTGCAGATGGAAATAGGGAAAGCTGCGATACCCACTTCAGAGCTACTGCTCTGAAAAAGTCAAATCGCTTCAGTAACCGCAGCTTGAAGATTTAAGCCTCATAGCTTGTGTTTCTCCACCTGATTTTGTATGTGAACGCACATACAGAGTAGTGAATGTGGAACACGTAACTGATAAACTTTTCACGTTAGTCATGTTGACAACTTCAGGCAGAGCTTTGTCCCTGATGACTCAAGTTTCTTCTGTTTGCGCTGTTGTGACAGTTGAACAGGTTACACATTTATTGCTCTGCTGCCACAGTTTATGACAAAAAGTAAACTGCTCCCGATTTCAGGAGATGGTAATSGGAGATGGAAGCTGTGACAGCTGAAAAGCAAGTATGAGTTTTATATGGCCATTTCTGCTATGGGACTGTTAACTGCAGAGACTCCAGCCAGTCCTGTTAGATCTGTGGCCTCTRGTCAGAAACAATGCTGGAAAAGTTGAAATCCACTGCCAACAAAATCCTTCATTTCACTAAAGGAAATAAATCCCCACCTGTAAAGTTAGTAATGAAAGTGTAAAGGAATGTTTGAAATTACATGCTTGTCTTTAAAATTCTACCATTGCATTTTAAAATTAAAGTGTCATACTTTCATTACACTAGTAATCAACATTATATATACACACACACACATATATAATAAACTTCACGTCTAGACTTCACTATCACAGCACCTTGTGAAGACAGAAAATCAGTTTGATGTCYCCTAAATAATAAGAATACAATCAAACTTTCTGGTAATGTAAATTACGCCATAACTTGTCATATACTAGTGGTGAGGCTGTGTGTGTTGCTTTGTCACATTTATTGGAATGCAAAATAACCTGCATTCCAACAAATGTTAGTACCAGCTCCTGGGTGTGGTGAGAATCACACAGTGCAACCAGGAAAACAAGCCCAACTCCCACCTCAGAGAGGTTCCTGTGGTACCTCCAAGCCTGCTCGCGCTGTAGCAGTTGAGGTTAGAAATTTAGTCAAGCTTTTTGTTTGAATCTCTCTGTTCCCACATAGCCCTTGTGGACGTTAGCAGACGTTAAAGCGAGCAGCATCAGCACTACGCGGGCTACAGGGTCAGTTCCTCAGTTTATTAGGTAGTTCTGTTCGGGAGAAAATGAGTTTTTCTCTTTCAGTCCTCCAGCCCGGATTAGCCAGTAGTCTCTGCAGAAATTACTGGATTTGTGATAGACAGCGGGAGACAAGTTGTAAAAACTCTCAAGTAGGAGGCTGTGGGAAGATTTGTCAAAGAACTTTTCTTCTCTGTAGTAAAATGTAAAATATGTTCATGATAAAAAGAAAGACCACTCTCCTGCATCATATAATGTGATAATTGCAAAAGACCATCCAGGGTTTTGCCTGGACAYCCAAAGCAAGCTCATTGTTCACATTTGATTTAGACTATTTCCCGTTTATTCACCCCTTCCCGTTTTCATCTTCTACTTTTTACTCTCGCCGTGGCTTTTCACTTCTGAAACACTTCTGCAACGCCCGCCCTCCTAACGCTCCCATGTCCTTGTTCCCTCCCGTCGCACAAAGCAGCACTCGCAGGCAGAGACAGACACACATCCATGGACAAAACCTATGGTAACATACAGGACAGACATGTGTGTGTGTACCTACAAAGTCAACTGTCTGAAGAAAGATGACAAAGAGGCTGAATATTCTATTACAAATGGGGGAAAATTCCTATAAAGCATAAAGCAGCAGGTACTCAGAGCATAAAGCAACAGGTACTCAGTAAATTTGGCCCATTTAAGTATTTCAGGATGCTGCTGACTCCACGAGGTAGCCTGCCCAGTGTTACTGAACTGACAGTCAGGAACAAGCAGGAATAAGTTGAAAACCACACAAGCCTGATCCAGCTGAAGGCAAATTTGCCGAGACTGTCCTGCTTCCCTAGGTTCTGTTGCTGGGCAGTATTAGCAGGGCTATTCTGGCCCCATCCACCTGGATCAAAATACAATTTGAAGGGCTGAAAGGACGACACTCCATATATATCCACTATTTATCAATTATCGACTGTCATTATTTTCCCAGGAAACACCAAGTTTACTTTTTTTTTGACCCATTATGGTTCTTAGCACTTTATCTTATAAACTAAAGTCGCGCACCATCTTTCTCCAGCCCTGCCAATAATAATCACAAAAGCTGTAATACAAACAATTTAGAGACTGGACAATGGRGCATTTAGACTTTATATTCATACTTCTAAGTTACAACACCTTGCTGTATTTTCACATCTAAAAGATACTTCTGCAAACCACCTACCCCTCAATTCTCAGTCATCAGTGATTCCAGGTATTTAAAATAATTTTTAAGGTGAGCTGTATGCAAAATGTTTAAGGAAACCCATTTACCCAAGGGCTTCTTAAAAATAAACCCCTCAGGTAGAGGGATTGTCATTGGCTATAATCAGCCTTAAACAAGCAAAAATATCTGGACGCCTGGAGAGAAAGATTAAAAAAAAAAAAAAAAGTCCCCAGAAAGCAAGCGTAGAGTTATATTTTTAACTGTCAGAATAGGGAAACGATGTGCTATTTAGCTTATTTTAATCCCCGTGCTGTTTTTTAAAACAATATTCAGTACTTCTGTTTTGCTCTATTACATCTGAAGACTAACCAAGAAAGTGGGGGAAAAGGCGAGAGGGACCTAAATTTCCATCTTTCAGCAAATACAAAGGTAGCCTTCCATCTACAGAACTCATGGATCATCAATAACTGCTCCTCCGAAGGGAAAGACTATCCCCGATTCATTAACACTTCACTGCAAATTTCTCATTTTTGTTAGTCACTCAGCACTTCAATACTGTGTTATTTGCAACACCCTCCTAATCTTTCATAAAGAAACCCACAGCTTAAGTCCTACTGTCTTTCCAGAGCTGAAAACTACTGGAAATAACTCTTCGAGCTTCCTTCAGAGATAAGCATTTATAAAGCTTTTTGCATAAATATTAGCTTTATTGGAAAATAGGTCACTTAACCAATCAGATGAACACACACGAATTATTCAAGTTAAAAAAAAAAAAATCTAACCTAAAATGCTTTGGAAAATAATCTGCTTCAGTTACAGTAGCAAACACATCATAGTAGCCTGAAACAAGTATTTGGGGATGTTTTCATCAGCTAATAGGCAATCAATTCATGTAAACACAGAAAACACCCTGTAGTATTTGTTTATGAATGTACCTGGAGTACATATTTTTCAAAAAAATCTGTAAAGAAATATGCAAAGTAAACATTGGTTTACATATAATTACAAGTTACGTATGTTTATATGATGGTTCATGCTTTTTATCCATTTATTCTTATTTACAGAGTGTGCATTAGAACCAGTCCTGTTTAAGATGTACAATGTCAATTTTCCACATTTGGGATAACTGCACTAGAAATACGCGCACACACACACAAGTCAAATCTTTAATGGTATCCAGAACCCTGCAAAAGCACCTGCAGAGATCAGTGAAAGGCACCAATTCTTAAGATAACAAGTTAAGACCACAGTGAAGTTTTTAGATTTAAAAGGGAAGTGAAACTAAAATTAACATTTTATTAGATAATCTGAAAAATGTATCAAAATAATGAAACAATTCTTCTCTGGATTAACTATTTCAAAAATATATTTCAAATAGGCTGCTTGAGAATTTAGTTTGGATTAGTTTTCCAGTAAATATCAGACCATCAGCTTCACAGACGTGTTTCAATCTTAAATGTGGAGAAAAGTAACATGCATAAAGGCCTATGTGCCGCCTTCTTCTTTCAAAACCGCTTTCGACACAATGTTAATGCCACTATATCCAAACTAATTCAGTTTTATTTCCGCTACTTGTCGAATATAATCATCCTCAAGCCATGCTGTCGGTGCTAGTTCCATCTTTAATAAAATGTATTTTCCTAATGGATTGATGGCAGCCTGCATAGCTGCAATAAGCTTTTGCTAGGCTGTAGCTCTAATGCTGCAACTCTCAACCTGTTCACAAGCCATGTAGTATGTCCATGACAGATGAGTCCTTCAACAGTATTTTACTATTTTTTTTAAAGAAAAAAACTTCAAACTGCTTATGACAGGTGATACTGCATTAGCAGAATGTAACAAAGCTCCACTTCAACAGGACAGAAAGACATGGAAAACTCAAAATGTATTCTCTTAAAGGGAAAGAAATGGCTTTTGCAACTATCAAAAGAATTTTGGTAGGCTGTATTGTAAGTCCAGTCGTTTAAGGGCCTTGAGGAGAACCTGTCCCTTCCAAAGGCCAGTGCTGCCAACTCGCACTGTTTGTGTTGCCYGATCATCTTCAGGCAGGGATGGCTTGGCTTTTTGTTTGCTTATTTTTAGAGCCAACTAAAGGAAGCAAACACATGTTCAGAAACAGAATGGGGCAAGTGCTGGCGACTGTGGAAACACCCTGGTCACAGCTAGGTTCTACGTGAACACCGCTAACTCATGCACTTCTATCTCAAAATTAATGTACAGCACAAAGGCAACTACAGTATCCAAACTTACATAAAACACCACCAACTGTCTAACCTTATTTTACAGCTCTGCATGAATGGCTATGCTTTGCATCATAGTAACAGTCCTAGGATTAGACACCAAATAAATGGAAACTGTGAAAAAGAAAAATAGCTGCTAGAAGACAGAGGAGAAACATTACAAAAATGGGGAAGCCAAGACTGTACACAATCTTAGTGTTCATATGGTTTGCTTTTGGTATCAGTACTTCATAAGTCTCTGGAAATCATTTAAATACAAAACTTTAGGTAGAAAAATAACTGTAGATCTTGCCTACCTATTTATTTATATGCATTAGTATCACTTGTTTAGTCAAGATACAGTGCAATACCTCTTTGTAATTAATTTCAAAGTGTCCATATATAGAGCAACAGTACCTTATTCCTGGCATTTCATAATAATTTGTTGTGGAATATCTATTCATGGAGGTAAGTCAAAATAGCTACCGTACTTTCAAATGGAACCCAACTTAATTCATGTTACAACTTATTTCAAGCATATTCAAAAGTCCTGAAGATCGGGCAAGCCAGAAGCAGCAAGCAATTGCCTAGATCAAGGGACTTTTCCTGCATTTTCAGGATACGAGTCTTTAATATGATCACAGCATTTTTATCCAATAAAAGAATAAGCCAAAGAAAGAAAAATAAATGTAAACCAAGTTTATTTTGCTTTTAAGTAGTGTTCTTTAAGCACTACAGCATGGTAAACAATGTAAATTAGTATAAGTCATCTCAAAAGCCAGAGTTTTTTTTTATTTTATGAGTTGTTAAAAAGATGCAGCCTATTCTAACAGGATAAATATTTTAACCATTTCACTTCGAGTTAATGAAGGCTCACAAATGAGCAACACTCCTCATTGAGGAAAACAAAAAGCTGTTGTCGACAAAGCGACAGCACACACACAAAAACAAAAGAACTGTGTAAAAATAACTAACTGTACTGTGTTCCCATACTCTTTAGAAGTTGCTTTACAATGGGATGATATGCACATGATCTTGCTGCAAACTTGCCATACAACTTGCAAATACATGTAGCCTAGCCTTACCACTCAGTCCAGAAAGCTGCTAACGGTTCAAAAAAATGCAGCACTGTAATTTTCTGCTTAACAATTAATTCGTTTTACTCATTACCTTTTCTCCTAGGCTGCAGGGCAGGCTAGAAAGAAAATGATCCCAAATTAAAAATTGATACTCTTACAGGAAATTGTATAATTTTGCAATATAGTCTTTTAACAAGTTATGTTTCGCCTCTTTTCCCCTTAGCCACAAAATGGGCATGAAGTAATATTTTGAAAATGCCTTAATTTTCAACTTCATGCAAATCTAAATAAAGATGACCAAASAAAAGCTTAAACAATGGAAAGATATTTCACAGAAAATTTCTTATACAAAAAACACATAAGAAAAAGGGCCACTAGGTGACGTTTTAATTTACAAATTGGCATCATTTTGGTCAACAAATATCCAAGTGCTGTTTTCTTCTATCACAACAAAGTAGCTGTACAGAAAGAAAACTGCATAACTTGTTTTATTATTTTTTGTTTTTAATCGCACATCTCCTCGGGAATTTCATGTGGATTAAGGATGCCAGGGACAGACATCTGCAGTTTATGTTTCTCCTCTTGAGCCTGCCGAAGGGCTGTTTCTCTTTCCTCCAAGAATAAGTCTGATGTGTCTTCACCTGCAAATTCCTGTGCAATTCACAAAACTGTTAGTTCATTGTCAAGTGCTTTAGAAAATACTAAGCTTCCAAAGTCCAGAAAAATATTTCTGACATACTGCATGCTTGTCTTCTGCTCTTATAAAATAGAAGAAGATTAAGGAAAGCAACATATTAAAGGTTTTCACTACTACAGAATGGGATGCTCTATTAAACCTGTTCTTGGTCTATACCATAATTTAAAGTAGTACCATAAAAAAAAAAATTAATAAAAAAAACCTTTGAAATACATTTTCCACATTATTTCCATGAGCTCCTTCCTACAGTCATCTAGAACTCTTATCATCTTTGGAAAAATGAAAAATCAAAAAATTCTGTGAAGTTTCAAACCACGCTTACATCCCAAGCAGAAACACTCTTTATTCTCCTAAGACCACTCTTTTAACAATCTGTTTGCTGTATCTCTCGCTAGAGTAAATTTTACCACCATCTTAAAACTATGGATTACAGGCACACAGAATAAAGCACTGATATGTTAAATTTAATGTATATAAGTAAATCTTACTAAAATAGATTTAATGATCTTTCATCCACAGACCCTATCAAGCTATTTACGTGAGCTTTTTTTACAGTTTTACATAGAGGTAGACTTATATYGCCTACTCAGGAAATGGTCCAATTAGTTTCCAACAATTGTTCTGCTGAACAATTATTTTTTGTTTCTTGAAAAAGCATGCCAAACATACCTTAATTTGTACCAGGAAATCCCTTAGGTGTTCTTTGAAAGCAGGAATATCCTGGTTTAAACTGAAGAGTCCTGTTACAAACAGCTTAACCTGGGCACTAAAAGTAAACATGTAAGTTAGTATTTCAACACATATGAACCCACTTAAAAGTAGTAAATAACCACAGCTCACTTACTCTTGCAGATGAGGAAAAGCGGATTTGAGCAGATTTGCAACATACTCCTGAATAAACATTTGGTTGTTCACTGGATTCCCAGGGTTTAATGGAGTACTTATTTTTCCCTCTTCTACTAAGTTGAACATGTATGCAAGGATTGATGCATGCATTGTCAAACCTGAACAGACCAAAGGTACACATATACAGTTATTATTTAGAACACAATGTACAAAGTTAGTTTGAAATTTGAAAGGAATGTTTTCATCAAGTGATTCACACATTTACATATATCCATCCTTACCAGCTGTGTGCGAGGTGTCTGTTACAACTGAGAAAATGTGCTGAAGAATATCACAAAAATACGTCTGATAAAAACTCTGGGCTGCAGCCTCTTCTTGCGCAACATTTTGTAGTAGAGTATAAAGTATCTGAAGCCCTGGAAAAATATGAATAAAAACCAAGTTGACCAACCAAAGAACAGTAAAACCTTTAAGCATCTTCTTGCTTTTTCCGAAGTGATATAAATATCCAAAGAAATCGTTGTGTCATTGCAAACCTGGGGATTTTCCCAGACATTTCCTTAGGCAGCCACGAGAGGGCTGCACACACTGCGTACAAGGAGCTCCGATTTGGTTACTTGATGTCTGATGCCTTGAATTGAACAAACCAACCATATCACTTCATTGCTGTTAATGAAACAGGGAGAAACCCTCTACCAAATATTTATTCAYTCACTTTAAAAGGGAAAATGTGCCRGTTTTCAGAATTATACAAAAAATAATGGAAGAGTCATCTTGATCCCTTTATCCTTTCCAAACTCTTAAACAAAAAAGTAGTGACATCTGTTCGTGTTTTTTTAAAATCCAGCAGCCTCACAACCACCTTCTCTTAGTCAGCAGTTGAGATGATCAAAGAAGCCACAATGCTACAATATTTTCAGAATTTAAGAAAAGTGCATTACTTCTCCAAGCTCCTCTTTAAAACTCAGATTCTGGAGGATTTCTTAATTACTGAAGTCTGCTGAATACCCTCAACTGCTTAATTAAGCCTCACACTGAATTTACCATTTTGCTGTTGTCCAGAGGAAGCACAGTCCCCCTCCTTACAATCACTGATGTCTTTGCAAGCACTGATGCATCAGTTCAGTTTCACAAAATGTCACCACTCAGAAAAGAAAACAAGCAGGAATGAAGTGCTCTCTCATACCTACAGTAGTGAAACACTATCCACACATTTTAGCTGTAATATAAACCTGGTTTGCAACTTGAAGCTGGGAAAGAATATTACTTTATGCTAATAAACTACAGAAGAAGCATCCAAATCACAAGATGAAGCTGGATTGAAAAAAGAGATGTAAGAAACTAGAGATGCAAAAAAAAAATGCAGCAGTAAACTTTCAAAAATATAATTGATATTACTAGATGGAAGGAGCCTGTATATTTAACAACCCTTGTAACTCCCATTTACCTGTATCTGCAACATTTCTCATTGTATGTTTGAAAGCCCAAATAATGGAATCCAGAACTAGTTTGAACTGTGCAGGTGGAATGGCCAGGAATGCTGGGAAGCAGTGAGAATTTACAGCCTGGAGTAGTAAGAAAAAGTTTGTTCTGTGTTCTGGATACTCTTCAAAGTCCTAGGATGGGAGGAAAAGAAAAGAGGAAAAAAACCTCAGGTTTCCTGAATGGCTGAAATAGCTTTCACAAGACACCCTGTTGAAGCACGATCCAATTCAGTAAAAGTTACACAAACAACATTTAGACCCCAGGCTCAAGTGACCATAAGTGAAAAAGCAAAGATAGTTCCTTAGAGCTACACATTTCCACCCCAGCCCCCCCAAACCTTTGTATTTAAAAAATATTTAACAACAACAACAACTGGCTGAGCCACATTTTGTTAGTGTAAAACCTTAATCTCTTCTCGTTCCACAGATAAGCAGGCAGACAGATGGTGTCGATGCAGCTAAGAATCTATGTTACACTCAGCAGAGGGACAATTTCTTGTTATACATTATTGCAAAGTGGCACTAATTCACCTGGCACTGCTTCAGTCTTATGCAAAATTGTATCACAGGCTACAGTAAAATTGCACAGCTGTGATATTTAAGGTGGAAATACTCAAGGGACTGATAAGTGCTGTATTTGGAAGTCTGAYATTTTAGCAGTTAGTTTGACATTAAAGTGGGACTAAGTAAAATGTTGCTTCCAGAAGCATGCCTTGCCGATCAGACACACACAAAAAATATATACTAGAGATTCGAAAACTAAAACCAAGAAATTTTTAAGGCTACCAAGCCAAGATATGCAAGTAGACAGACAGACTTCAGAACAATTTTTTTTTTTTTGGTCTTGATTCACTAGGGAGATACTTTATCTGGGGTTTAAATRTAAATACCTTATTGATCATATTTAGTGTGCATTCAAAAACAGCATCAAATATCTGAGGTATTTCAGCAGTAATGTGTCCACCCAGCTTGTTTACAATGATAGCCATGGTACTAAGTACTTCAGGTTCTCTAGCAGCTGGAACATTTCGCTGGTAGTCAATGAGAACTGCATCCAACAAGGGAGGAACAAAGTTTTCAGCTACCTAATTAAAAGAGCAAGCCGTGGTTATAACATAGTCATTTAATAAAAACTTTGGCAAACAATACGTAGTCAAGTTAATAGCCTAGTTACTCAAGGGAAAAAATGTTTCCTGTAAGTTGAAATACATTAAACAGAGCCGTAAACTACCCCTCACTCCCAGAACCATCAGCAGTAGCATCGGCAGAATTCTTTTAAGTCCCACTGCTTCAGAATACTAAGCTAAAGCTCAACCATTTTAAATATAGTTCAGACATACCTCACATTGCTTTTATATATTACAGACCTCTTAAAACAAATTCCTGTAACCCACTTGATTTAGCCAGACAAAGAACTTCTAGAACAAAGAACTTCTCCCAAATTCTGTCTTATTAATACATTTAAATGAGCATAAGATACATTTACTTACCATCTGAGGATCATTGGACCTGCTCACCCAGCCAGAAATTAGCTTCAAGGTTTCCCTTTTTACAGTCCTCATACTTCTGATCAGTGGCTGCTTTGTTACCATTTCACCTGTTAAATTTTAAAGCTTCAGTTAATGCAAGTAAGGTGATTTTCCATGCAATTTGTATTTAGCTGTAATTGTTATTATWTTTTTTTATGTAATTATACACAACTAATTATATTCCATGTAATTTGCATCAAAAAGTTAACTTAAATTGGTAATAGTGAGACTGAARTGGCTTTTTAAATATTCAAAAAAAMCCCAAAGAATATTAAAGACATTTTGTGTAAAACTACCTCCATTCTAGCTCCCAGAGGCCATTCAGCATTATAGAACTAATGCCTTCAGTACCTACACTTCAAAAAACCCAAAAAGCTACTGCTTACTTCGGAGGTAAATAAATCACCTAACTACTTAGACTAAGCTTATATTTCATTCTTAAGTGATGGGGGAGAGGGACAGCAACCTACGTGTGTAGTCAAGATCTGAYTGTTCCTGCACAGTCACATAACCATTATGGCACATTCAAGGGAAACACTGTAAGAACTCAGCCCAGGACAAGCAGCTAGGACTGCTCGTCCTGGCATTAAAGCCATCTCAGGCAAACTAAAACCAGTTGTGAAAACACACTCTGAGATGAGCACTATCACCTAGCTGCCAACAGGGTATCCTATCTGAACTAGTTACCGACTAGTTACAGACCCAGTTACTGCTTTCTGAACTTGATGGTTTCTTACAAGGACAAACTGTGGCCATTATTGCTGCAGGGTCAACAGGTGCTGATTTCACTGCCATTTTTTTCTCTCAATTCTATTTGAGATGCTACTTCAGAGTCAAGGGGCTGTTCAGTTACACCAAAGTTTCATTTAACACTCATGTTTCCAAAGATGATCTGCACTCATTAGAAAAGTGCATAGAAAAGTAACACAGATGAAAAACTCACCGACTGACTCATTTGACTGGGTCGCGAATGGCCACAGCAGCCCATGCCACAGACACGGGACCGCCTCAGTTAGTAACATTATGATTGGTAAGTGATAATTTTCTGTCACCAGTGACAAGTCTRTTTTTTTCACTTCTTAACTACGGAGATCTTAACTACAGTTATATTCCTATAATAAAACTATTTAGTTGCAAAGTACCATACACCAAAGCCCTACTATCACTTTTTGAAATAAAAAAAAAAAAAAGAATTCAAAGATAGTCTTTTCCATATGTAAAACTAGAGCAAGATAAAAGAACATATGCTAGAACTTTGTCTCAACAGGTTGCACGTTAATTCTTCTAACTATCTGTTGGTTTTAGTATCTTCCCCAAGCTTTCTGGCTTATAGTTGTTTTCCCTCTAAAATCACAGCAGTTTGTTATTTGAATAAGAGAACATCTGGTTAGCAAGAAAATCTAAGCAAACACTTTCACAGCAATCCCTCACTTGCCCAAACAGTGCAAAGAGCGCAGTAAAATTCGCTTGCCTCTCTAACATACTTTGAAACTTGATAACATGCATTATTTGTCCCCAATTTCAAGGAAAACAAGAAAAGTTCTTACCATTAGCCTGGATAGCTGCAGAAATATTTTCACTTAGGCACTTGTACACATTCAGCATATCTAAGTAAATTCTTCCAAGCTGAATCACAAAGGGGTGGCCAACTGCTTTACATGCTCTTACATTTGTTTTCAGAATGCTACCCAGCTGCTTAACTGTTTCAGGATCCTTTAAGATATCAACATTCTGAAGAAAAAGAGTATTTTGTTTTCTTTAGTGAATAAAATTGCCCTTCAGCTTTTCATAAAAAAAGTGGTACTTCAAATAATTTCCATTATGTAGTATGCTGAAATATGTATCAATACAACAGTTATATAATACTTTTTTTTTTTAAGCTCATGGCACTTGCCGTTCTCCTTTAAACTGAGAATCAGGATTAATCTTGAGTTGTCTGTATTTTGCTCTCCTACAAAAGTTTTTGCAGTAGTACAAGCACTATTYGAGTGTAAGGCAGGGGGAAACCAACACATGAGGAGTAAGATCAAGAAGTGAAGGGACACACAGTTCAAAAGGAGAGGCAGTCTCTGTTCATTGTTAAGAAGGAAGTCAAAGTGAGAAGAGTAACTAAAGTTTCATTAAATTTCGGGATAACTGGTTAAGTCCAAAGGGATCCACCTCTGACAAGGAGGACTGACAAGGAGAAATGAAAAAAGGAATAAAAGCATACTTTAAGAGAGTGATTGAAGAGAAAAAATTGAACTACATTTTTAGCATTTCATGTTTTCTGCTACTTCGAAAAAAATTTCACTTGTGAGTCAGGTAAAGGAGAGTTGTACACTCTCCTTTAATAAACTCTCCTTTAATAAACTATTCTAAATAAACTATTTCCCCCCCCAAACCCTGAAGCAGCCACTCAAAATTGCTTTTCCCTAAATAAACATACTACTTGAAATTRCACAAAACAGGCCTTTCGAACTATAATAAAACCAAGACATTGTCATTTAAAGTTCCTCTCTAAGTAACATTTTTAGTATCATGTTAAGTCACCACTTTCACCATTAAGTCTACCACCATATATGTACAACTAAGGCAACGTCACGTGAAAAAGCAATCTGGAAAAAGCGATCTGGTGACGGAAGAAGTCAATTTTATCAGAACACAGAACACTTATAAATTTATGGACTTACTTTTGTTGCCTGTTGAATTATGCTGTCCCATACTTGATTAGGGAGCAACATATATTTTTCTATCAGATGCTCCTGTACAGTCTGGTCTGTCTGTGCCCCAATCATGTATCCGACTGCTTCATAGAACGTATGCACCTAATTGGAATAACAAATCAAACAGGTAGGTTAAAAATGGAACAAGTAAACAGTGTTTTACAATCAATGTATAGCCATGGATGAAAACAGAATTTCTCTGTATGTACCTTTTTCCCACCTAACTTAAGGAAAGAACTAAAAGACTTCATAATTTCCTTCACGTACAAAGTAAGACTCAATCCCTTCCCTTCAACCCAACTATCCCAGAGTCCCTTATCCTACAGTCTTCCTTCATTCTGCTTCCTAGAAAAAAGCACCATATTTCAGAATGAGGAAGCTCAGGGACATGCTATTTAATTTTTCCTAGACTACAGCTCCGTTTAATTATTTTATAGAACCTTAGGCTGACTTAAGACCTACATATAAAAGTTACAACCGAATATAATGGGGCGGGGGGTCAAGCATTTAAACTGAAGACTAGATGCCACCACTCCTTAAAGTATTTCTTTGCAGACACCAGACCTGCTCTGCCCGAAGCTTTACTGCACCACATGCTCAGTATRTGTGTGTGCGCTACTCTTACTCTGTGAGCTACTGCCCTCCTTAGGTGTAGGGCCCTTGTTTTCCTTGCACCCAAAAGAGCTGTATGTCATAATGGCAGGATCTTTTCCAAATCAGAACCACAAAATTAGATTCAGTATCTTAAATGATTTAGTTGTGAAAATGTATTTCAGAAGTCAAGACTTCAATTAAACTCACTTTAATGTTCCCTGTCAACRAAGATCTCCATAGTGAAACCTGATCTGCTGTTTTGTATTTTAAGTACCATATGTACATATGATGTATGTACCATAACTCTCTCAAAAAAATAAAGAATACAATTTAGGTCTTAAACCTCTGCCAAAGAGACTTCATTATGGAACATTTTCATTATCTTTAGTAACTACTACATATCACCCACATCCTCGAATTAGACGTACCTGTTGTGGCTGAAGATCACAGATGATGGTATTAATATTGTTTAAGATTTCATCGATAAACGGCATGACCTCTCCCACTTGAACCTGGACAAAATGTCGGCGGCATTTTTGTGCTATTTTTATGAAGGTATCGCAAGCCATATCCTGGACGCCGTCATGGGTTTCTAAATTAAAACCACCTCAGTTACTGCATTGTACTTTTCTTCTAGACAGGTGTACACAAGATACATGTGTATAAGCATCGGTATCTTTTTAATAAAAATAAATGAAAAAAGATAATTACCGTGCATAAATTCAAACAGCTTGTTGACAACTGTCTTCAAAAACTTCCAGTGAGCTCTCAAAAAGCGTGGGTACTGACCTACTATATACATTATATTTGATGCAATAATGGCTTTATTATCTTTTCCTCGCTTTTGTTCACAGAGTCCCAGGAGATCCTACAAAGTAACACATTTTTAGCTGCCTCCCCAAGTTTATCCAGTTCAATTACAAGCCTTGTAAGATCAACCATAAAATACTATAACCAGTTAAACTGAAGATAAAGGGAAACGGCCATCATATCTAGTTCAATGTCAGTGAAAAAGGGRGAGACAAAACTGGGCTGATGCAATTATACAGGTCTCAGGCAAACCAGGCAAGGCAACTGTATGGAATGTTTTAGCAAGTTAGCACCCTGCTATTTGGCCATTTTCATTTTATCAGCCAAAGGGAATTTTTGTTAAATATAACGTGCATGAGAAGAGTGCAAGAACAAGGTTGTGCAGGTCATACTGCCACCATCCTTTAGTTCCTTAGCTATCCCTTCCCACTTTTTTCTCATTTCCCCTCTTTTTCCTGCCAAAATACTTCTTCATAAGCTAATCTCTGAAATATTCCGTGAGAAGGCTACTTGGATGAGCGCACTGTTAATGACTGAAGAACCTACTAACTTGAAATCCAGAATTTAACATTTCCCAGCAATTATCCCAAGCAACTTGTTTGTAATATCAAAGGTATCTTAGGAAGAACATAGAGCAGTGTTATTTTTTTRAACTTAATTTCTTAAGCATAAGCTACAAAGTGTGACACATCAGGTTTGCACAATGATACCTTAATTACTGTAACAAGAAATCTTTTTTCATCTTCTTCATGCATTGCTCCACTGATTGAGCCTATAGCCCAACACAGGGTATTCAAATTTTTCCATGACCATTCTGTTCCATTCACTTGATTGTGAAGCTTTTCTGTCATTATTCGTTCTGTATCCGCATAATCCAAGTGTGTAAGATAAACTGAAAAACAATTAACATTAAACATGCCTGTCATCTTTAGGCAAAACCTGGGTCATAACAGACAAGATTAAGCTCTTTTAAGAAAAAGAAACAAATTCTGTTAAGTGGAGTGCTTCCCTCCTGAGCTTATGAACTAAAGAATTAAAAATCTCTTGAATTTGTGTTTTAAAGATGGTGAGCAAATATTAATGGAAAAAATCTATGTTAAATCTGACCTGAAGAATCTCAGAAAAACCCTATTACACAAACTCAGTGGAAAGTCTGAACCAGCTTGTGTCTTGTGTACGCATCAGACCAGTAAAGCCACTAACAAAAGGAGTTTGTGTTCATGACCTATAGGTTAAATATAGKAGTGAATAACTATCAGGCACATTGAATTGCACTTAAGTAGTCAATCCATAATTTTCCTCTATTCTTTCTTGTGCTGCCATTAAACAGGCTGGTTGCAATGACTCACCATTAGAACAGAGAAGCTTCTCTCCCCTAAACAAGTCTAGATGGGACGATTCATGCATCACAACTGGGACAGACATTTGCATCAGCCCCTAATAGGATTAATCCAATATAAAATTCTAAATCCCGGAGAGTCAGAAGTAATTTAAGACCTGATTCAACATGTTGTGGCATGGTAAAAATCCATCCTAACTTCTCCACTGCACTCTCGTATTTTTTATTGAAATTATTTATTTGAAAAGTGAACCTTCTATTAAAATAGCATACTGTAAACAGTAAAGTCACACTAGAAATGAAATACTTGATAATTACATCTCTTTTACAAACAGTCCTGCACCTGGAACTACATCTATGTTTGAGGACATGCAGTAGATTAAAGGTTTTAGTTTAAAAAACAAAACAAAAACAAAGTCCCATAGAAAGCTATTAAAAAAACAGATCAACTACCAGGTGCACTTCAAGTGCCACTAYTACAGCTATGAAAATTAAAAAGCCCGCAAATATTTGACGTTTTTACTTCCTTTGTCACAGAACTCTTAACCCTTCATTCATAAACTCACTACTGAACACAATGCTCCTTTACGGTATTTACATTTAATGCATGTTAAATGCATGGATTTTTTGGGGTGGGAGAGGGAGTAATTACAATATACCTTAAGGTTTTCCACATAAGGTTRTATGATCTATAAATCTGATCTGATCTTCAGACTGCAGTCTCCAAGCTGCCAAGCAATATCTTGGAGTAGCCAAAGATTTCACTCGAATGGATGCATTTTAAGAGAGGAACACCACTAAAAATTTCAATACAAATACTAGCTATGACTACTTAACAGTTAAGTTACACAAGAGCACTGCATGCTTCCACCCCCAAAGCGCCAAACACTCCTCTCTTACAAGTTTTTGTACTATTTTGTACTATTGCTGGTGATCATTTCGTCCCCATGTAATTCAGAGTGTAAGCTAGCAGTCCATAACATGCACGCTGCTGCTGCAACTCCACAGGACAAGACCTAGTTGCTGCTGCAACTCACCCAGTGTTTCTCTCATATTTTTATACAAGTTTATCGAATCTGTATCCTTCATGAATTCTCGTACTACTTCTCCTTGATCGTTTTCCACAACTAGCACTTCTTCTGGCTTCGCCATACGGCTAACCATTAACAACCGGACCTGCAATTCACAAAGAAAGGTTTAAAGTCAGTCAAGGTGTAACAAGAGCACACACGTGTAGCTCCACAGCTTCTAAAGCACTCGGGCTGGGCAGTCTATCATATAACAGGCATTTTCAGCACTTTGGACTAGCTCTTCCTCATCAACAGCAAGTTGGATAAAGGAGCACACTAACTACATAACATAAAGGAGCACACTAACTACAAAGCCACAAAGAGCAGTGCCTGCTGACTTCTGTGTCTACACGAAGGAGGGATCGAAAAGTTGGGAAGTACAGAGGGTGGAAAAGATGACGTAAACCTCCAGAACTTCGATGGGTTTTTTCAAAGATTATCTATACAGTTCTTTCTCTTCAGATAAAACACACAAGTCTTAACAATTTTAACACTCATATTTTAAATGCTATATCAAATTTAGTCAGATGAGGAAAAAGAAGGGTAGTATAGAATATGCCTGCTTCTCAACCCAAACCCAGCTACAYCTTCACGGGAAAACACAGATAAAACAACCAAGGTGCAAAGCAATGAAAAAGGAAACTATTGGTATTATTTAGTAAGTCTACTAAGCAAATCCTATACAGCAATTCTATCACAAGGTTAAAAAGTTCCTGTAGTGCTACTATGGAGGGAAACAAACATTAAATCTGTTTGAAGAAACTGTTAATACAGCTCTTCCAATGTGTTTTTTTTACTTCACTCATCTTTTTAATCACCATCTGAAAAAAGCTAGGACATTGTTTTGATAAATATATCATCTACCAGTGTCCCCATCTTCAGTCTATCTACAAAAAAGAAGGTATTTGCAGCGTATTTAATGACCAGACTTGAATCAACTGCTCAAAGCAGGACACATTTTCTGAAATGAAGCAAAATGCCTGGCCTCAAAAACAGTATCAAAAGCTTCACAATACCTTTAATTAAGTATGGATTACCTTGGATAGTACAGGCAAATAAAATTGTCTCCTTGGAGGAACATCAAAGTGCTGGCTTCCCGAAAGCAATGGAGACGCAGATGTTGAAAATGGACTTTCCCTGTACAGCTCAGCAGCTAAATGATTCCAATATTCAAGACAAATCTTGAATATTTCAGTTTCTTCAACTTCTGATACCAATAACATATAATGAAGAGCCTGAAAAAATACAATTTGTACAAACGATTACTAACGATTTTTGAAGGTAAGTCTATATTGCTTCAAGTTCTGTTCTCCAAGTGCTGACAGGATGGTGAACTAGCCTAACACATAGGAACACAAGGCATTAACGCTGCAGTAAAATCACTTACAAATCAGAGTTCCGAGCAGTGGAGCAACMACTTGGAAACAGAGTGCCTTATTTATTGATACTATTTTGAAAATATTTATGGTCCAACTTTTAGAACTAAAGTCTAGAAATCTTTAAAAAGTTTGACTTTAAATATTCAAAAACTACAGCCTCTGGAGCCTTCTCAGGGAATTTTGTTTTACCGTCTCAAGAAATAACCTTGGCAGTTAGCGGCAGTGACTTATTCCCAAGACTTCTACTGCTGCTTTGTTTTGGATCATCATATCCTTAAGAACTGAAGACAAATATCAAATCCACACTGCTCACTAGCATTCAGTGAAAAACATTACAAAAATGTTTTCAACAGCACTGACAAAACAGTCAGCATGAAGACAAAAATGTGAAGGCCAAGATCCCCATGGGAGAAGTCATAACTACACAGCCTAACGTTTTAAGCCTAGTTCATTTCTTCTACCCCTTGGGGCAAAGTACTGAGCCAGTAGCCCCACAGGGAACGAAAAAGAAACACCGATATATACCTAAGACTTGCAGAGACCGGGTACTAACACTTGCAGAGATCGGGTACTACAGTGACTCGAAGTATTTTAAGTCAGACTGTAAACAGCCGACTCAACACTCACACCTGCACTGTCASAAGAGGGACTCCAGGCAGCCTAACACTAACCCCACAACCTCGTGAGATTTTCCCATTTTGTTTAACTTGCAGTAACCTATGCAAGTTYGTTCTCAGCGTGCACAGCTCCTACCTATCAGTGGAACCACTCCAGAGAACTGGCTACATCTGCACTACAGAGAGGACTAGTTTACCTGGAAAGCTACTTTTGAAGTCTTGTTGCAATACAAATTAGAGAAATGATTTTTTTTTATATATTTCAAAATCACCTAAAAAAATGGTGAAACACTTCAAGATTGTACAAATATATTCAGAACTGGCTTTTGTAGATGTCTATCTTTAAGAAGAATTTAACAGTTGTGCCTTACAACACAGGAGACAAGATCTAATTTCTGCAGCCTGATCTAAACACAATAGCATAGGATACAACGTATGTTCCTGTATGTGCTGAATCCTAGAAACCAGCTTTGGCGGACATGGAATTGTATCTGAAGTATTTCACTTTAAAAGTGGCAAAGCAACACTTAATCTACAGGAATATTCTTGTATTCATGYGATTTATTTTTTGCGGAAAGGAGAGAGTTCTTGGTCTTCTAGTAACTATTAATCATGATGATTTAAGAGTGTACTAGTAATATATCCTTTGAGATATGAGTACTAATATATGTTGAATATATTTTCCTAATTGAATAAACTGAGTAACTTACCTCCATTAATGTTTCCCTCAGATTTAATCTCTTTTCTATAAGCTGACCATGCTCCTTGAGGAACGTGCAAAGAAACAAACTGAGATTCTGAATGAAGTTCTGTTCATCATCTTTTCCATTCGAGTATGCAAGTCGAATATTAGTATTTAAAGGAAGCATCTAATAAAAAGAATAAGGACACAATTAAGAATTTCCCGCTTTATGCAAAAGTAGCACATTACTGTGTGTTAACAAATATTTTTCGCTCTTTTTGGGGAAAAAAAAAATTATTCCCAAGATGGACTGCAGGGCGAATGTGTGAGCAGCTACAGAGAATTCTAACAAACTAAACATTCTTTTCCATCCTGTRTAAGGGAGCAGCGGGAAACAAGGAAGGCAAACACTCTATCAAAGTATCTTTCACGAGGCATCACAACGTTATTTCCAAGAAGTTTACTTGTGCCATACAACTTCATAATGTTAGAACAATTATGAAAGAGATTCTCCACAGTGCTAAGGTACCTTAAGAAAGATTCCCAAAAGATACAACTTTTTCAGTTATCTTGTATAGATCTCTGCAAGACCTCCTGTGAGATRCCCTACCTTTTTAATTCTTTTGTTATACAAATCATGAATTTTCAACACTGGCACTGTGTAGTAATTTGCCTTCTTTAAAATCAACACTATAAACTCATAGAACAGAGAAGAAAGCTTAATGTGTTCACTGCTGACATTTCTGCRCATGTATTCGTTCTCTAACACTTTGTTTCACAAAGCTAAGGGATTAAAAAAACAATTTTTGGTAATAAACKTAACAGTTTGAGTCAAGTTCAGATACAACAACTACGCAGTGCTAATAGCTGCAAACTGCAAAATATCCCAAAGAACCAACAGCCAAGTTAAGTGATATTTAAAAAAAAATAAAATATATGCAAATGTGTTTTCTATTATTTAGAATCAAGCTCATTATCTGCAAAAACTGAGAAAGTAGTGATCAGCCACCTAATCTGTAAGATGATTTTGGTGCATGCCAAACTAACATTAGATTTATTCTAACTAGAATTAAGCCTTAAACATCTACTTGAAGCCTGAACACAGGACAGGGAAGCAAAGGGAAGGCACAGCTCAAGCAGCAGTGTGGCTWTTACATAGCTCTAGAGAACCTAAAAGATGAAGAAACACTGCAAACAGAGGGGAAGGAAAAAAAAACAGCAACAACAAAAAAAAACACACTAAGAAGAGATTCAACACGTTGTATCGTTAAACGCTCAAAGTCAACAACCTGAACATAGGAATATCTTCCACTAATATGGAAGAGAAGGATCTTCCTCGAAACATTGGTGGGAACTTCAGTACAAACATCTCGCAGCCTAAACAATGTTTGCTGAGCAACAGCAGCACCTCACCTGCACACTGGACACTGCACACTGGACAGGCTACTTGCTAATCACCWAGTTTTGATCTTTCCACAGAGCCTAGTTTCCGAGGTGCCAGCTTAAGCAATTAAGAATGCTTTTGACTCAGTGTCTGCTTATAGTCTGCTGCTATATCCTCAAAAGGAAAAACTACCTAGGGTATTTTAGTAATATTGTACGAAGGATATTGGACTTAATGAAAGTTATGTATTATCACCTAACAAAGTATTATCGTCACCTTCAAACTGGAACTGTTGGAAATCAAAGATAGCTTCTAATCTACAAACAAGTCACAGATTTGAATATGCCGTTTTTATCACAAAATATGAGTATCCTCAGTGATAAAGAACTCCAACTAACAGCAGGAACTGTCTCACAGCAAGCCAACTTGTCTTCAAGTAAGCAGGAACTGTTTAGGATTCCAGGTATATCTTGCAAAAGGCAACTGCATTTAAGGTTACTCAGAACACTCCTCAGAAGTCTTCCTTACTTTCAATATCCCTAAGATGCCCTTCCAGACAGTGCATACTGACATAGAAACAGGACAAATATGTATGACACAACACATGGAAAACTGAACAAGTGTGAGGTAGCAGCTACAGGCAGGAGAGATTGACRTGTCAATAAGACCTCATCACTGCCTACATAAGCTACAAACTCACTGTGAAAACCTACAAACTCGTGTAACTGAGCTGCTCATGAACACCACAGAACTGCACCTTTAGGAATACTGTTACATGCAGCACTGTCAAAATCCTTGAAAAAAGTTTTGATCACTTTCCAACTGAATTAGGTCTTACAAGCCATATATGACATTTTATTGCATTTCTCTCAATTTTCCCCAGAGYGTTCAAATCCTCAAAAATTCTCTCAAATTAATCAAACAAATAGCTATAACCTAGAACCACAGATAACACACTTAACATGTTTTACCAAGCCATAAATACAATTAAAATAACACAACAAGGTACTAAGTGCATTTCCCCATCCAGATCTCTGTATTGCATCTGAATTTATAAATTGAATCGTGTTCTATGGTGTTCTATGGAAGTCAATTTCCCCATTCAAAGCAGTCAAAAGAAAGGCTCATTTAAAACATTACCTTTCGAAAAAACATTACCTGTTTTAACTGCATCATGGTCAATGTAAAAAGTGTTACAAACTGTTCCTCATATTGGCTTACACTGACACCCGCAATCTCTGTGAGGCACTTCAAAGAAACATTTCGGAACATGGGAACATTTAAGAACTATTGAAAAAAGAAAAATTAAACATATTACAAAAGTGTTATACGTTAAGCACCTTAGTAACTTCTACATTTAAGAACAGTCTATTTTTGCATGAGTACCTTGTATATTAATGTGCTGATTAACTTGGTCTCAAATATATATCCCAGAGGAATCCAGTTCAGAAATCGTAGCAAAGTTTCCAAAGTTGCATGGACTAAGGGAGCATTCTGGGAGTTTTCCTGTAACGGAAACACTGGTGTTCATTATGCAGACACTACAAAGCATGGCGTGGCGGGGGGGAAAGGGGAAGGTAGAAAATAGCTACAAAAAAATAGTGGAGAGGAAATCAGACTCACCATCACAAATTGACACAGCTGAAATATCTGGGAGAATTCATTGCACATACTGAAAACACACAAAAATCAAAAACTAAGCATTACCACATTCAGCAAAAAATTCTATCCACTTTAATCACTAAAGTGTCTATAGTCACAGAACAATTCTGGAGACCTAGGTCCTTAGAAGTGTTCACAATTACCAACTTCAAGAGGAAAAACACATTTGTTGAAGTGCCCTTAGTCTGTGCCTGCAAAATTCCAGCTTGGAAACACAGGCAATGCTCAACATTGTGTATCAACAGATGTTACATGCAATGATGTAGAAGTATCTTTGTACAAAGTAAGTTTGATATTACTTAGCAATACTGTTTTAAATAGAAAATAGGACTCCACTTAGCCTCAAAAACAAAATTTGGTAATTGCAAGTGTTTAGTCAAAACCTTAAAAAGTGGCTATCCAGCATCAAGAACAAAGTGTAACCTATTTATTAAGCATTAAATGCATATACTTGCCTGTCTTTCAAATGTTTGGCTTTTACTTGAGTTATCTGGCCGCTGGAAAAATCAAACACTTCCTCACTCAATAGCTTAAGGATCACCATGTTGTTCTGACAAAGGCTTTCACTTGTCCTGCTTGCTCCCACAATATCACTTATAAACGTTGGCCAGTGCTTGGGCCATTCTTGTTTCAGTATCTGAAGATTGAAACATTTACAGGGTAAGTCAACTTTCTCTCAACTTACTTGTGTAAAATCACATATTCTGTTCACTGAATATGTGAAGACTTCAACTTTAAGAGGAAGTTTAAAACTTTATGAACTCAGCTTACCTGAACAAGGATCATATTCAGTTTCCCAATATATACTTTCTCTTTCTGGAGAAGAGAAAAGGAGAGTCAGGTTATGAGTATTATCTCCCTTGCTTTTACTCCCCTAAAGAGAATTCACTTACTTCTACACATGTTGGGTCAGACGAGGTCTTGATAATTAGGCCGACCACGTACTTTTTTATACCTGCAGAAAAGTTGAGAATTTATTTGCCATGAGGTCAGATATCACGATTTATTACTAAACACTTTTGAACTCAAGATTCTTCAGATGTATTTAAAAAGAAATATTTCAAAAATGTAAGCAYGTGTAAATGTATACCACTGCTCTTACTTGGGAAAAATGTACCTGTTTATCACTTCTTCAGCACAACACGTGAAACACACAAAATGATACTAGGTTTGTGGGCTTAAAAACGGGCAAARAGCCTAAGAACTAGATGAAGTTCCCCAGGCACTGGCACAAGTGCTTGCAAACGCTGCTATAGAGCCCCCAGTGAAAAGTATTTCTACCCATTATGCACTTTCACGTGAAACCTAACAATTCCAAAGCTGACAAACACATTCCTACCGTTTCAGCCAAATGCTTCATACAGCAGGATACAATATGAGAAAACAATTCTGACAACTTCTTTGGCTAATGAGTCACAGTAAAGCCTATGGCAAAAACAAAGCTTTCTAGGCATAACTCTAGTTTTAATACAATTTAGTTAGAAGTTCAGAAAGACTTTGGTGAAATATCTGCAATTTATGTAAAGAGAGACTCTAGTTTATGTAGTCAACTCTCTTTAACACAGAGGATTTAAACCTAGATGCATAGCATTTAACAGCTGAATACCATACCTCATCTCAGCAAAGTTCTGCTTTACAAGAAAGAACTCAGTAATATACCATTCACTCATGCAGTTCAGTTTCCCCCAGGTTTGGACTAGTGTGGTTTTATGCCACACGAGGCTGCTAGGGTTTACAGAAGCCCTTGCTAAACCTTGTCCACCCTCCTCCATTAACATTATGTCAACGGGGAATACTCATTTTGTCTATTTCTGCTACAAAGTATTCTTAAGCAACTTGAGATTTAAGCGTCACCACTCACACTCACAAGAAGTTCTGCAGTAAACTGTCTGTAAGTTCCATCTTACCACTCTATCACCAATATCCACACTATAAAACCCATCACTGAAGACCTCAAAATAAGAAAACTCCAAGTACCTTCAGATACACATGCTCACAATCACTTTGTACAATTTGTCTGATTTCAAGAAAAACACAAAGAGAACCTAAAGTCAAGAACAACGTTAACATTGCTAGGTTTACTAGTAGCAGCCTACTTCAATTTAGCTTTGATATGACAATCAAATTTTAATACACATTAATTAAGCCCTTCAAGCCGGGCAAGAGTTTTCGTGTTGTGGAAAAGATTTAGGATATGAAAATATTTCACTATTCAACACCATGAAGTCCAAAATTTGATTTAAATGATTTCTTCAATAAGACAGTCAACTGACTCATGCAAACAAAAAGCATCCTATGAACATTATTAAAAGGCTGTCAAGTTTACAAAAAAAAAAAAAAAAAAAAGAGTTGTGTTTGAGAGGTTTCATTTGTACAATGGTTTCTTACCCAAGTTATAAACAAGATTTCAAAGACTTTACCTAAATTAGACATTCATTGAATTCCAGACCTGAGCAACAGAATTAGGAGGGAATGGTTATGTTCAGTTTTGTATTTGGGTTCCCATGAAATCTGGAAAAATTGCACCTAGAATTCCGCTGTTAGATTCAGACTACTGAGGAGCAGTTCTACTGCTAGTTTCATTGACTAACGAGTCTCTTCATTTTCTTCAAATTACCAACTCAGCAATTCACGCTATGCCAAAAAATGGCCACGCTATTAATAAAGTAATTATCGTATCACTGTCAGCCACTAAGAAATAACTGTTRATTGACATAATTGCACTGTCCTAGTATGTTAAAACTTCCCCCCCACCCGAGCTTTGACAAAGCACTGCACTAATTCACCAACAGGATACAGAAGCCCCCAACTGCAACAGCTTTACAGTGCCAGGAGCCAGGATAACGTTACCTGTCTGCCAAACCACTAYGTGAGCCCTAGAGTCACAGCCCTCTGTGCTCAACATCACTCTGACTTCGCACTCCAAAGCTGCAGCACTTGCTCTCTTGCTGTATCAGCAGAGCCAGCCTGCCGTTACTCCCTGCACGCTCTGCCACCACCAACCTACTCTCAAGACCGCTGGCAGAAGGAAAGCGTTGTCCGGCTTGGACTTCTCCACAGAAAAAATGGTGACCATAGCCCAGCAACAGACAATATGAAAGGATCAACTTGTTTTCAATGTCACATCAATACTGCAGGCTTTTAGAGTCTTTCATCCAGTGAACAAAGTCATGCTCTAATCCTTTAAAAGCATCAACTATCCAATTCCATAATGCTTTTTTAATTTTAAGCTTCAATGATGCTTTTCTGCACAGCTACAGGCATTTTTACTGGAAGTATTGCAGTTTCTACTCAAAAATTAGTAGTTTTTTAAAATCATTCCATATAAAGATGAAATAATTTGGGTTAAGAAATAGTATTTTAGGTTTATAGCAGGACAAAAATTAACAAATGCCAAGTACTGTCTTTCCATCAGAAACATCCAAGGAACCCCTTCAAGGACAATACTCCCCTGTACTCCCCAAATTCAGGGTGCCTTGGGGACTTGCAGGAAAGCGCTTATCTTAGAGGGACAGGCACCGGGCATGCACGAACCACACAAACACTGCCTAGAACAGAGATCTTCAACCAGGGAAGCCACTGAACAAGACTTGAAAGACAAGAACAAAACTGTCGAGTTCTGATACTTCCCTGTCAGAACCGCTGGACGGGAAGAGACAGCTATTCCTAGAAAACTTGCATTCCAGAAGGCAAACACAAACACCTCAACCACAAAACAAGGACACAAATGTGACCTTCTCCTCCAAGGACCTGTTTGACAAAGATAATCTGATCTCACAAAAAACTGCAACCAAGGGGGCAGTCCCTAGTTTCCACTCCAACACTTTGAGATGACACTGGTGCTCACAGTATCCAGTCACAAGTTCGTTCAAAGGCCTAACTAGTATTATTGAAAAAATTAATTTGAAGATGTTTTAAACCTACCTTCTACCAGCTTAGCTCCTTGAATCAGCTCATTAAAGAGYCACACAGCCCTCAGCTCAAAGACAAAGCCCAGACAAATACAAAATATCTTTTCCCACACCAGTTAGCCAGTAAATCCACATCACAGCACCAGATTATGTTTTAATTATCAGAGAAGCTGGACATCATCACTGTAACAAGGCCTAGACTGTTGTCTCGGTAACATTTTTGGTGCAAAAGAGAAGGAAAGACACAGTCAGGATGCAGTAACAGAACAAGGGTACTTCAAGGCCTTTTGGAAAGTTTCTGTACAGGTACTGTAGATCTTAACTGACAGCTACTTTTCCCTGGAGCAGCAGGCTGTGACTGTGAAGTGAGAAAGGAGGCTCAGGTACACGCTACAGAACATGCTACAGGTACATGCTACAGAGGGGCATTTAAATGATGTGAAGGGCTAAGCAAGTTAGGTTTAATGGAGTATTTGCACTCCCAACTGCACAGGGAGCCTCAGAAACCACACAAAGGGGCAGTCTGATAGGAGGCTGCAGGACGAATGGGTCACACTGAAGTGAATCCTGCCCACACGTTTATCCTCGGGGCCCCTTTTATCTAGTAGAGCTACTTCCTTATCTCAGCTCCTCAATGCTGGAGCAGTTACACACTGCAAAGCAGTTGAGTATCACTGGCAAAGCAAGATACACACTCCTGGCCCTGACCAGTTTTGGTCAGCCTCAGAAGCGCTGACTCTGGGGCTATAATCACCCATTCTGTCCGTGCGACTCCCCACCAGGCATCCTGCAGGTGCTCTCCCGGCACAGACCACARGGGCAAACTGCAACCATTTCTGGAGGGAAATTAAGTTCCACAGGTGATCCAAGTTACCCAATAATTACAGCAGAATAGGCCATGAGAAACATAGCATTATGCAACTTCAGTAAATTCTGAATCCAGTCTAAATTGAGAAATGCAATATATTCTAAAATGTATGTCCTACAGTTTGATTGCTGATACTTTTACATTTACATTTCATCTGGACTAACCTGAGCTCAGAATAGCTGCTATCGCGACAAAACCGCAGCAGTTATCACAAATGCACAATGTGCAGCTATCTTAGTAACACAAGTACATACCTGAAGTAAAGACAATTTGKCTAAAGATAAACACACCCTTTTATACTATTACAGAACAACACCATTTTAGAAGTGTTTACAACTGTTACAGTTGACAATGTGTACGTGCATTTACATTACTACAATKAACAAATTCTCCATTCGTATGAAATAACAAAGGGATAAATAAAGCACACAATACAACTTGGCAAAAACAAACATTATTTTGTACCCCAAATTAGAGTTTCAAAACCTCAAAGTGAACTAATTCCTCTGGAGAAGCTTTTAAGAAGCTTATTCCTAATCGATCAAGTTTTGAGGCAACTCATAGCTTAAGTAACCTCTCATTTTTTGTCACAAGACACGGTGCCTTTTACCCTGCTGTCCCAAAGATCTTTCCCCACAGCTGGTCAATCCATATCAATTTGCTTTAGAGAAAACAGCCTTCATGAAAACTCCTAGAAAAAGGGTAGATCTTGTATTRTCCCCCACATCCCCCAAGTTCTTTATCACATCATCCATATCATTCACTTCAAGGCACAGAGTACGGGSATGGGAAGAGTCCCCCTCACAGAGCAAGCCCATGTAACTCCCCCTGGAACGAAAGCATTCCCCAGAAAAAAATCTCCTCTACCACATCACTTTCCACCAGATGAAAAGCTTTACGCTCTACTCCGAGTTCTTTCTGCAAGCCAGTAAACTGCAYGTCTCTGAACATTTCAATTTGAAAATGAGAAGTTGTACAGGCAATTCAGATTTCATARTGAGAAAGTGCTTATCCATTTCATCTCAAAACACTACAGACAAGCTCCTCCTGTTCACAGGATCAGAATTTCATTTATACTGCAGGAGTAATGAAACATATCACTAAACTGGAAGACCAAGCAGCCTTTCTCAGCAGGTTATACACTTAAAAGAAAATCCTATTGAGGCCATAGCACTATAATCAAGCGACATTCCTTCTAAGTAATCATTATTAAACAAGCTGCTGTACTGAAAATCAGAATTTAACACTATTTAATATTATCTTGATAATCTGTTGGGGTTTCCTTGTGTATTTTATAATAGTTTGATACCGCTGAAATAAGCCAAGATGATCACTGCACGGATTGTTCTGAAATATACCTGCATGTTTTCTCTCAAAGAAGCTTCAAAGAAGAAAAGAAYGAAAAATCACATATCATTTATATACTTCCAAGAACAATCCAACACACTTTCTTAAAAGGTTACATACATCCTTAAAAAGCAAGTATAATTGACGGCTATCAACCATGACTCAACACACTCGAAGGCCAAACATATTGGTCAAACACCTGCCCTTATTGAACTGGACTTCAAGGATTCGGTGTTCTACAAATCCACTTTTGTCTAGATAAACAGTTCAGAAAGAGTTCAAACTGCTAGCAGCTAAATAAAAAAAAAGAAGAAAACAAAAAACACACAAAGTCCCCCAAAAGTAATCATTAAGATCACTTAAATGTTTCAGAAATTATTCAGCTCTTAGTATACAATCATGAAGAATAAAGATGTATTCTCCAAAAGTGATTACAATCCTAATTTTTAGAAATAAGTGATACCTGAGCAATAGAACTACTCACAAGCTAAAATATATCAGTGTCAGAATAGCTCAAGACCAAAAACTAACATAAAATTAGGAAATTCAGCAAGAACAGAGGCCCAGCCCAAAGAACATATCTTCTAGAGAAGTGTCTTTTCCTACTTATGTTTAGAACTCTGGGCTAGTAGCTAAAAGTTTCCGACATTCACGCAGAAGGAATAACAGAACTCTGCTTATTCTCAAAAAATAACTTGTTCTGATGTACAACTTAAGGCTGAGCTAAAAAAAAAATTAAAGTCAAGCTACAGTTCAGGCTAATTGATGAAATTAGCTCATTTATTCCAGGTTTGTCAGGTAGGTTGTTCCAGTAACTGTTTTTACTCTATCTTATTCCTGCTCAAGTCAAACCTACTTTTAGAGTCTACATCCTTAAGTACTGTTATTGCTAGAAGTGAAAAATAGTACTTTAATAGAATTATTTCCATTGTAATCAAAAGTAACATTGTCAGCTAACATGTTTGTGACATAAATCAGACATGCCCAATTTGATAAAATAAGATACAAGTWAAATCAACTCATTTTAAACTTGTCCAGATTAGTTTGTTCCTACTACTTTGTTACAGTGGTTTTCAATTTCTTGCACCCCACATTCTACTAGTTACACTTCAAACAGGAAAATCCTGCTAACCAAAGAGATGAGTGGATTCATCATAAAGTAAGCCTCGATTTAACTGGTCTCGAACTGGTCATTCAGGCCTCAATGAACTGCCATGTGCAGTTCCCTTGTATCATATATTATTACTGGGGGAATGTAAAGGGGAACACAGATGAAACGGGAGTAGATATGAAATATCCAGGTTATAGATTTTTTACTGCTTTACTCCCTCACAAACTTTTGAGGCCAAGAAGGATCAAATGCCATTTTACACCMAACATATTTTGCTCCTCTTTTCAAGGCTGAATTAAAAAGCACAAATTTGTTTAGGGTGAAGGATACTCTCCCCACTCCAAGGCTTCAGAAAAGAATTCAGAGTAGTGTATCAACAGATGACTGTATAACAAGAGGGAGCACTTTTATTCTGCATGGTAATGTACTGAGCTATGGTTATTGTATCTTCTCAGATGACAGCAACTAGTCAAACAGTACTACCATGCTTGTAAGCAGCAAAGTAATAACAGAGAAAGCACCAGTTCAAACGTATCAGTTTCACGACTCATTCAACAGGCAGGTATACAGTATTATGTCGCCTAACAAACAGATGACCCAAACAGCAGCCAACATCCTTAGTCTATTCAACTACTTATCATCTMTTCTATGCATTCAGAGTATATATTTTTACAACATGCTATTATTGAAGTATATTCTGTATGTGGCATTTTTTCAGCCCTAAACTATTAAATCAGTTTATCAGTTACTCTACTATACTTCCCTTGAAGGCCAAGTAGTAGTAAGCAGAATTGGCAACTCCTTTATTCTAACTTCTTTTGCTCTGTTCTGCTCCAACAGCAGAAATTTTTAGGAGAATCACTTACAAGTGCTGAAATCGGGTGGTTATAGGAACACAGACAACAGTAAGCTCACACATGCTAGATAGTAAAATCACAAAGGAGATAACCTCTGGGTGCTCCCCTAGCCTCTCCACAGAAAGTAACTGATCTTGAGCCTTAGTTGAAACTGTTTCCTAAAGTTTGTAAGGTTGTTTCCAACACCAGAAGGCTTGTGAAACTATTTCCATTGCCAAAAAGACCTRTGCTCCATCTATTAACCTCGACCTGGAAGGGGGGGACGGGAGGGGGAGGAAAATACAAAAAGAAAAAAGATGAAAAAGAAGAATCTCCCTCTATACATTTGTCACAGACTTACAATTATCTTTTCAGCAATAYGGATTCACAGCAAAAGCAGTAAAACCTGAAAAAATATCTTATAACTACTAAAAAAGAGCTCACAATGGGACATTAAAAAWTTGGAGTTAAGTTCCAAAATCACCTTTTACAAAACAAATTGAAGCGTGGAATGGTGACGACAATATTCAAGTTTTGTGAATTCTTTGTGCCAAGAACTTCAAGTAGTGGCACTCTGAAATTCAATTTATCATAATGTGGCAGAGAGCTACATGAACAAGCTAATCCTTTAGCTTTACCAGAGAGTTAAAAACCCAGTGTATTTCCAGTCAGTATAATAATACTTAAAAACCTCTGTAATTCAACACTTAATTACAAAGATTTGGACAGAGAAAATATTTTTTTTAAAAAAAAACTTAAAAGCTTCATATTCCTTGCAATGATAGAAAGTTAAGAGTTTGCCCTATACTGCATTTTGAATTATAGCAGACTAGCTGCACATACATGAATTAGAGCATTTCACAACCTAGAGGAACGACCACTAACAGATAAGACTATCCCTTTTACTCAGTGTTTCTATTTTGCCATGCTTATGGCTTTTTACAACTTCAAAAGAAAGGTCTGTGACATACATTAGTGTTGTCCACCAGGAGCACATGGAAAGTCACTTTCCAGTCTGYCAGAAAGATGACAGCCTAGTGATGGGGCTGGAGACACAGCACAGGCAGCTGTAGAGACCCTCCTGTCCTTAGCAGGGAGGACTGAAAGCTCCAGCTTATAGCCAGAATCAGCCCTCTGCAATGGCCTAGGTTAAGCTGCTTCATGTTAAGTTTGGTTTGTGAGTTAATGCAGCAAGTCATGCTTCAGAAGTACCAGTCCTACTTTTTAGTTTTTAAAATTGAGTGCTTATTATCTCCCCATTCCCGCCACAAAAAAAAACCCAATCAAACAAAAAGCATCATCCAGAAAAGCATAGACAGCCTTAGTATACTCGGACTTAGGATATTTACATGAGAATTAAGGGCTAAAACCTCAATTCCTACACAAAGATAAGAGACTAGCACAAAAGCAACTCCTTACCTTCGCATTGGTTCCTTGGAAGAATCTTCCATCTTGTTTTTATCACGTTTTCCAAGATCTGCAGTCCATAATACTGAAAGTGGAGAAGARGAGGATGTGAGCATGTTACTGGAGGACTAACACTAACGTTCAGGACTCTCATTCAGTCAAACACTCACACTTAACATCTAAGACTTCAAAAATATTAAACTAACAAATTTAGTTAAATTTAAAAAATGCCTATTCACCCATTTACTGAGGTTTCATGCATTTTTTCTTGTTTCATTTTTTGCAATACTAGGTCCTGCTCTTTGATCATGCTCATACCAGGAGGGAAAAAAAAAGCCCTCTGGCAGACAATTTTGACTATCCGGAGGAGAGAAAGCAGCAGCCACGTATGAGTTTGCATCATAAATGACTGCTCATACATTCAAGTATTAACACAACCAGGCTCCTAAAATACTTAGCAGCCTGGATGGTCTGAAGCTTCCTATCATTCTGCTATGGGCTGAAAAAAATCTTGTCTTAGCATTGCATGTACTGACACTGACACTTTCTGAGTACTTCCCGAACTCCGCTGGTGCATTATTTCAGGAACAGCAAGACAACCCACAGGTTTATTTAATTTCAATGCCCACCCCAAGATGGCAGCTATTTCTACTATTTAAAGATGAACTTTTGTGCTCAGTCAAAGAATAATAATGTTAACACGCTCTTGGAAATCCTTTTACCTTTCAGGAATTACTTCCTAGGTTCTTACCCCAAACTGTTACGTTTGCAAAGTAATCAGTAAGGYCAGTCCCTCTGCCCATTTGTCCCTACTGCCAACTCACAACAACAGGGAAAAAAGTTTGTCATGATATGATCRAACAGCTTTAATATGCAAAAAAAACCATTATCATGAATAGACAGGAGAGAAAAGGGGACGAGGGATTTTGTGTTTGCTTTATCAGCAGTGGATTAGGAAGAAAAAAAAAAAAGTATCACATTAATGCCTGAAAGGTAAATTTATATCTTTACAGTTAAAAGTTTGGCTGAGAATAAGAGTTCTTCTTTAAAATGGTTAGTTGTTACACAAGGTAGGATCATTAGCATTTCAACCAAAGGGATCATGTAAACTTCAGTTTAATAAAAGCACAATGTAGACTGTCCCAAGCTACATTGTATTAAAATATCTTTTTTGCTGTTCTCATCTTATAATCTACATTCATACACTTTTCTATTTGACCCAAACTCCCACCAACTTCACTTGACATCCTGCATTTGCAAAGCATTCTTTGATCTTCCAGAATCTCGGAATCTTGGATACAGAGAAAAAAAWTCTTGCAATTACAAAAAACTGGCAGAGTATTTTTTCTCACAGTAATCAGCAAGAGTTTATCGACTAGATAATTGGTAAATTTACATAATTACATTACAGCTAAATTAAAATCAATRGAACATTCATAAAAAAGAAAGTATGAAAACAGTTTAAGCAAAAAGCTTCACTATACAGGAAGCAATTTCAGGCAATACTATAGTTTTATACTATATGTATACTATATATATAGTTTATACTAATATATACTACACTATATATGTATACTCTCTACATATTTATACTACAGGATGGCAGCCAGGCTACCAGCACAAAATATGCTAGTGCTTCTAGTAATACTGAAAATACGTACATTTACATCAGAAAGTGCTGATGTTGAAAAAAAAATCTGAACTACAGCTGAACTCCCAGATTGTATAATCACATCTACTAACATTTTCAGGTAATAGCTAGCCAGAGATGGCAGTTCTGCTTGAAAAGTCTTTTTTTTCCCATCCCCAAAGCCAACTGACAAGTTTTATTCCACCTTGCTAAAGCAGTAACGACTGAACAAAATTGGTACAAAATTTTGACAGAAAGGACAGAATTAATCTTGCTTTAGTCTTTTCCTTAGGATTTCCTTTGAGCCAATGGAGAGAAGAGAACCACTAGAATAACTTGCCACATGTATTCCTCATTATCTGCTCCAATATTTAATTTAGAAACTTTTAAACTGTTARAATATTAGTCTTGCCTAGGTGTCCATTCAGTTTTTCTGTACATAGGCAACTACAGTTCTGCACATTACTACTTTCTTCTTCATCTCTTCCTACCCTTTTTCCCCACTACTAGTAATGTTTACTTTGCTCTATCACTTGCATGTGAAATGAAACAGGAGAAATAAATCACCGACACAATCTTTTTCTAAATATCCTTCTTACCATACTGCATGAGGGTCTCAAGTCTATCAGGGTACTCTACATGAGGCTTACTGTTTTATCTTTTGGAACATTGTTAAGCTTCGTTTGATTGCAGGGTTGTAATAATTTTTGGTACTTTTCACACAATGAGATACACCAAGTTCAAAAAAACCCTACTGATATCAGTTACAAGTTTCACTGTCTGAACTATTACAAATGTACTACTGCAGCTGTACAAGCAAGTATATTTAAACTGAACACAAAATGAACATCCAATATCGGGATTTTTGTTTGTTTTCTAATAGTCTATATTATAGCAATCCACTGCTGAGTTATGAAGATGAGGGACAGATAACAGCAAAGACCAAAAAAAGCATGAAATGATCCCTATGGTAGAAATTTCTATGGTACCCTTATTACTTATTCTATGCACCAAATCCCCCTTCCCTCCCACCTCCCAAGAAACAGAAACAATTGATGAACAGAATTCAGTTAAAGGGAATCAAAAGGGTAGACCTTGTGGAGGCCTGCCGTCAAAGCCTAGCTGTGTCAGTTGCACAGGAAGACACCCCTTTTCTTCCTATTACAAGCAATCAACATAATGGAACATTATGATTAATATCAGGTAGTGTTAACAGCTTTAATTAAAGAAAAAATATGATTGCATAAAAGCCAAATGTCATAGTGCATAAATTTAGCACCAAATCATTTGCAATTTATGTAAATTGAAGAATTCTTTACCTGTTGCTTTCTTTCTGTTCCTCTAATCATCTCATTTTTCACAAGACAAATTTGAGTTTTAAAAATACTGTTGATAAATCAACTTAAACATTAGTAATGTCTGTCAGTATAAAAAGCAAAGTTTACCAGGCAAGCAAACAGGCAAACACTGTTACTTAAAGGTTAGCACTTTGAGGAAGTTCTTTAAACTGTTTTCCCCTAAAATTGATAGAGCAATTAAAAAAAAATAAAAAAAACCTTTCATGAATACCCCACCTGAATCCACAAATCATTCAAACATGAGTATTTTCTGTTTGAACACAGTGTGTATCAAGCAGAAAAACATGCATGACAGTTATTGAAGATGTTAACCATCCAACTCAAAACAGTGAAAACACATTTTGAACAACTTTTTTGTTCAAGCTTCATAATCAGAAGGAAACATTTTAAATTGTGAAGAAAAACTGAATGCTGTCCCTTTGATTACTAACATGATGGATGGATTGAAAACAGCAGTACAAAACAGTGCGTTCTGCATATTAGTAAAGATTAGATCTCATACTGCACAGAGTTTGGGATGCTTAACTTTCATCGACTGCTCAAAATCTGAGCCTAATAAGGTTTCTATTTTGCCTTTCTTACACCTAGGGACAAATTCTCTCCTCAGTTATATGCACATGGCTGTCATTAAGATCAAAGACAGCCAAGCATTTACCCAAGGAAAAAATATGGCCCTAGGAGACTTTTCACTACTCAGATGCATACGCACACCAATCTTTGGAACCAGCATTAGGTTTGCATGGGCCTTGGAGGAGGGAGAGGATGGGAGGGGGGGGAAAAAAAAAAAAAAAAAAAGGCAGAGGGGAGGAAGACGAAGAAAAACCTTTCTAATTTAGCTCTTGTTTTAAAAAAAAAAGCGGGGGGGGGAAAGGGTGGGGAGAAAAAAGCTCTCATCTACATAAAAGGAGATTTCAGTAGTTGATCCATTTAGAGTTCATGCTTAAAGCCAGCTTTGGAAACTTTCTTTTTGGAGAAAAAAAAAAAAAAAAAAAAAAAAAAAAAAGCTGGTTTGTATCAAGAAAATCTCTGCCTAAAAATAAGATACCTTCCTCAAAGTTCATGAATGGAAGAAAGAGAAAAGCAAATAAATAAAAGTTAATTTACTTACTTTGGTATTCATGTTCTGAGAGAACTCCAAAATAGTATCAACCCTTGTCCATGCATCAGGATGCTCTTTCAAATGAGTCAAGACTTCCTGTGCCATTCTTTGCTAAAAGCAAATTTGATTTTTAAGAAAGTATTAGTATCAAATTATTTTAGAAGATAGATACTGTCAGTGAAGACATTAATACATAATGTATCTTTAAATCACTTATTCAAGTTAGAATTCAATGACGAGTAACAAGTCACTTAAAAACTGTGTGCCTCATAATTAATACTTAATTAACAACCAAAGTCAAATGCATAGTCGTAATTCAGTTGAATTGTTCCAGTAAAGGCTAATAATGAATGTTTAAGAAAATTCAATCAAAATTTCCTAGGTTAAATTTTATTCCATGGTGGAGGAAAGGAGGAAGAAGTGGTTTTAGTAATGGTTCTCTTTTCCTTTGGGCAACATTATTAATTATTGCAGTAGACACCATAGTCTGAATGATCTTCAAAATCTCTTCATTTATGCACAATAGCTTAATCAATGTTATATCCCTTTTCAAGCCCRTATACACAAAAGGACTTTTTAGAAAGAGTCAAGTAACATGAGATATTCCACAAAACAATAAAGAATTCTGCTGCAAATTACCTCAACTACAACTACCAGGCACTGACTTAGCAGGATAAACTTTTCCAAAGTTGCGAAAAACAAGTTATGTTACAAATAAGTTTAATTCACTCTTTTACAGCACTGCATAAACAACTCCATGAAAACAGAAAAGTTAAATCTAATTTTGAGAAACATTTAAAGCTCACTATAGTGATATAACTTTCTAATTAACTACATGAATACACTTGAGCTAAATAACTCTTCCAAGAAAATGATTTTGGAAAGATAGAGGCCCCTCAGACTCAAAAGTTTATGTATATAAAAGGTATGTATATAAAAAAAATGAATTTAACTAATCAAAATGTAAAAGGAAAAGAAAAAAACAATAAAGAGTGAGGATGTCAGAAATATCGCTACAATAACGGGATCTCTCTTTAACAGAATTGAGCAACCCCCACTGTGGCGCTGACTTGAAATAGCAAATCCCTGTAGATTCAGTATGAAGTAGTGCCACATAAACGCTTTTAAGGCCAGAAGCAGTACAAACATATTCTCTCAGTACTGCTTCAGAGCTAATAAATTCAGCAGCTTTGAGACAGTTTAGTGTAAGAGAAAAAGAATAGCTGTATTAGTTCCAGAGTCAACTTGGGGATGTTTCTATACAGTCTCCTTGGTGTCTCTAATACTGCTGACATGTTACAGGATTAAATATCAGCATCAAGGGAGTACTTGTTCTCTGTATCGCTTTCCCAGCTCCCGAAAAGTTTGCTTTCATACTCAGTAGTATCTTATAACACTTCCTGGGCATCAATTCCAAACATAATAAAATATATGGCAATGCTTAAGACTCAAAATATCACTGTTGCTGCAACTGGAACAGGGAGGGGCAGAACAAAAATAAAGTAAGCTGCAAATAAATCTTCAAAATTTTAATCTGAAAGACCAATGGAATTCAGAGTTTGGGAAGAGTATGGTAAGAATCTTAAGTTTGAATTGCCTCAAGTCTTCTCAGCAGTGCCTTGAAAGGGATGGGTGGAAGGCGAGGAAAAAAGCCACAGAGAACAAAGAGGGGAGGGAAAAAAAAAAAAAAAAGGAAATTAAAAGGTCGACAGAAAAGTACTTCTTACTTGCCCAGGGCAGATCAGCAGATAGGGTTCTGCAAGCATCACAGCAGAGATAAGAAATAAGTGAAGTAGGAGGAGACAGGTGAATGTGAATAGAAATACAGCTTGGGCTATCTAAACTGCATTCAAAACAGTTCTTCCACGCTAGTTTGACTAAAAAAAGAACATGGTAATCTGCCAATCTTAATGCTCGTTTCTTCAGCTTCTATGATACATGTCACCTCTTAAGTCATACTCTAAGGTGACCGACTCCACAACAAAGCCATTCTTCCTCCAGGAACGCTTTCTGAATTCCTCTTCTTGGAAGAGGCAAGAGCCCATGGAGCTCACTGGAAAATAATCAGCATCTGCAGGTGTGTACTGCAATATCGAAGTCTAGTTGTATTAAAGTGTCAGGTATTGGCACACTTACAGGCTTATATTGCAACTCACTTTTGAAGGTTAAGGGTCTCCTTTTCCATTTTTGCTGCTTCTTGTATTAATTTGTCTCACTTATCAGAAGTTTAAGAGCTATATAATTCAATAAAACTCCACCCAGTTGATTCATAAATGAAAGAACTTCTCCCAAAAACAGTGTAACGGCTGTTTGAGCATTATTGCATTTAGTCTTCTGTTTTCATGCTGCTACCTCCTTATAAGCCTTTCCAACTTCTAAGCTCTATTCAAAAGCAAAGAATACTACCATCATCAGCTATTTTAAGTCAAAATGGTAAACATATGACCCACAAACACTTGAGAGTCCTTGCTACTTCTAACCTCAAACTACACCAGTACCCTTGCAGCACTACTTGCTTTCAATATTCTTTTTTATCCAAAGTAATTCAAGAACTAGATAAAAGCAACATATGATTCACTTTCAAGACCATATATGCACATAAGACACATGCACACATAKCCCCCAAAACTGAATTTAGTACTCAGAATTTGTACTAGATCTAGAACGTGGGAAAAATTTGCGAAGAAAAACAGCAACAAAAAGAGGTTAAAGAAAGGAGAAACTCTTCCCTTAAACACATGTAAAATAYTTCTTGGTAAATACAAATACTATAACAACATTAAGTTCCTCCTCCCCTCTTCCTCTCCCCTCAATGTAATCCTTCAGTGAAGCCACTAGTGAGTTATAGCTTCAATCACATCTGTAACAATAACAGATAAATCATATCTCCTTGAAGAGATCAGAGAAAGCAAGCTGCAAGAGAAACTACCATTATCAACATGCTCTTGTGTATTCCAGCAGTAAAAGCAGTCATGGAAAAACACAAGACACATACAGAACTGGTATCTTTCAAAGAGCTATTCCACTTTCATTACACAAGATCTGCTTTAGACATGGGCACATGAACTGCCAGCAGTAGTCTAGTCACTAGCAGAGTAAATTTGCTAGTATTACTCTTTTTTATTGAAATAAATTGTCTTTCCTCAATTCATTTGCTTTAAGATTGAATAYAGTCAATAAACAAAAGGTCTAATTCAACATTACCTGTGCTCCTTCTCCATGGTACAAGCAGTTCACCACATTGTCCAAAAGATTGATATCCAGTTTCTGGTTAAAATCCAGCAGCTGACGAGCTGCATGGTCTGCTAACATTGTCATAATTGCTGGCATAGATTACTGTAAAATAAATAAAGAAGTCTTTGATCAATTACTAAGAAATTACTGTTAGATATAATTCTAAAGCAAACTCTTCAACCCAAGTATCTTGTTTCAATGAAATGAGCTACATACTAGATATTAATACAATACTTCTATAGACTGTAAAACAAATATGAGGACAAACTTGTACTGTGGTTTCACATGCTACTACCCCAAACAAATTCTCAGCAGGTTTAGCACTAGTTTTAACTCTTAGTACTAAGAGTTTAACTTAATTTTAACTCTTAGTACTAAGAGTTTGACTAGGCTATTGAACTAGTTGTTAGGTATTTGGCCATGGGGTAGGAGAAATGAAATAATATACCAAGTTTATTTCTTAAATGTTTGTAAAATGGCAATTTTGCCGATAGAAACACCTAACCATTATAAGCAAAATCAACTCTAAAAACACAGTGTAGTTTCCAAAGCCAGCAGACATATTCAGACAACCATTTTTAAAAACCTGCAAGCCATTAGTTATGGAAATGTGATCTAGATATTCAATAGGAAGTAAACTAGAGGTATTCACCCGCCCCAGTAGCTGAAACAATATATTCAGAAGTATACAATATACAAGCAAGAAATTGTCACTTAAATCAATAAAGTTGCCAGATTCAGGAGACTTCAAACAAGAGGCCAAGAAGGTGACATATCACCTGAGGTCATTCCAAGCAGAAACTGAACTGGGAAATCTACTGGAGGTCTTAGGTGCCATAAGGTCAGCAGCACAGTTGTTAACTCCTTGTCCCAGGTATAACAGTCTCAAAACTATGCAAATGAAGTCACATGTGCACACGTACACAAACATAAATAATGCTTAACAGTCAGATTAGCAAAGGAAAGAGAATGCACTCTCAAAAAGCACAAAAAAAACAGCCAAAAGCCATGGAATTTTGGATATTAATTTATAATCATTTCTCTTCAAACCACCATCCATACTGGAAGCATTCCATTATTTATTGCCTCGGTCTCACCTTAATTGGTGATGTTGACACATATTCCTACCCTCTCCTCTACAGCAGCTCCTTGCCACTCACCTTCCTTTTCCGGAGTTACAAATGAACATACAACTCCAAACTGAGAAATATGCAGGGGTTGGGAAAAGTGCCAGACAACTCAAAAACCTAGATTAGAMCATATTCAGCAAGACAAAGTCTGAAACTCTTTTAGAACTGCCCCCTTCCCACAGCCTTCTATCTATGTATTTGAATGCACAGACATATATTCAAATACGTGCATAAGTAAGTAAATGAAACTGCTATGTCCAGTTCATCCCTTATTTAGAGAAAGAGCAGAAGTCAGCTTGTTGTTTTGCTAAGTATCTTCACATGAAAATAAGAGGTAGTTTTACACCTTACATATTTAAGTCTTAAGCTTAAAATTGAAGAGCAAAACAAACCTGTGACTCAACCCAAGTAATTACTAATTAAGTGAAAGTCCTACAATAACATGCAACCTGAGAAAAATCATTCTTTAGAAACATACTTCTGCAGCAAGTATCAAGGAATGTTATGCAAAATATTGAATGTAAATGAACAATTCAATTGTATTTTACACATAAAATTGCATATTTAGAATCACTACGCCAGACTTCATTTTGAAGGTGCCATATCACCATCCAGTCAGCATTTTTGCAGTATTCTGTCTTTCTAAGGAAAATCAAGTAAAAGCTAAAGTAAAATTATTAATATCCCACAACTGCCCTTCTCCTGTTGCCTCATTGAAATTTTCAAGATGATGTTTATGAAACCAAGATGCAAAACAAGAAATAGAAATTCTGCTAACACAGATACTTAAAACTTAATCTTGCAGAGGTTAGTAGGCAGTACTATCAAAAAGAAATCCAAATAACTAATATGTACTTCAGCTAAGAGCAGTTAATACTCCCATCAGGCACACATACTTCCAGGCACACCCCTTTCTGCTCACATTTGGTTTCCACGGCTCAGCCATGAGCTGTGAAAGCTGTTTTCAACTACAATTAACATTTAAAAATAGATGCTTTTCAGGTAGCAGCCTAGAGTTAAGCCCATTTCAGCTGTTTTTAGGCAGCACACGTGATTAAGAGAAGTTGGTAACCACATGGAAGCCAATAGGAAATGTTTTGAATAGAGCCCTTTGCCACTCCCAACATTATCTTCAAAATGACCTATGTATTTGCAAACTGAAATATAGAAATGGCAGCTTTGTGGTCGATACCAGCTGCAATCAACATGATTTYCTACTCCTTATAGTACCCTATAAGTACCCCACACAAAGCTTATAATCTCCRATATATTACACTCCTACACTTTTCCCATCATGTCTGAACTTGAACAGTCTTAAGCTTCAGTTCCAGACACTGCTGCAGATCAGTTCAACGCTGCCAATAAGTGGAGCAACAAAAGCAAAACGAGAAAAGTTGAAAAAAAAAATCCAAACTACAACATAGCAAGAACGTGACACCTATCGAAGGTCAGAAGAACTGCATTTAAAGAAAACTGTTTACATAGTTATCCCAGTTCTAAATGACCCTGGACCTTAAGTTTAAGGCCACATTAGTTTGTGATCTCTATTTGAATCACTGAAGTATGCAGCACACAGGAATAAAAATATACATTTTAGAAGCAAGATAAAATACTTACAAGTGTTCACAATGAAGCCTAGGGCACATGGCAACCATTTTACAAAGTAGTACTGCTAGATAAGCTGATTGCAGGCAACAATTAATTCAGACAAAAATAACACAAAACCCACAGTGGCGTAGTGGAAAGCTGCCCAGCTCTATAATAAACACATAACCGCACTGCTAAATGCAGGCGAATTATCATCCCCTCCGCTCTCCGTCCCGACGAGTTCTCTGCATCACTCTCACCTATTTTTTCCCCCGCTGCACAAGCAGAATGGGCGCGCACAGGCGAAGACACCCGCGCTGCATTAAGACACCAGGAGGCCTCACGCAACGGTTGCTCCCCCACGTTTTGCTTCGCGCACGCACGGAGAGGCCTGGGCACGGGCCCGCGGCGGGGCCCCGCGCAGCGCCGGGCGGGCCGGCC